ATGCATAGTACAAAACAATTAGAGCATTTATTTTTACATATAATATCTTTCTTGGTTAATACACGTGTGGAGAAGTAAAAAAAATATAAGCGTGGAACTTTAGAAGTTAAAGGGTTTAACTTAAAACTGTTTTAGGTATAAAAAATATAATTATTATGGTTAACGACTGGCTAGAATGACTTTATGACCGAGGAAAAATATTATTCCATTTTCCTTTGTGTTATTGAATTGTTTGTCAATTTATAAATTATATTATTCTCTACAAAATAATTATGTATGTAATTTTATAGTTAATTAGATATTTATTTTTATTATACTTATTGTTAACTAAATAAAATGTAATTTTTTTTCATAAATAACCAGCAAATAGTTTTTGCAATTAAAAAAATAAAAGAGATAAATAGTGAAAGCTATAAATTTCTAAAAAAATTTAGTTCATCAGACGTAGTCGTGTAGTTTACAGTGATTATATTGTAAATTAATCTTAGTTTCGTTGGACCTTTTAATGGTGTCTGTGATATTTTTCTTTTCTCAGACGTTTTTTAACGGCCATCGACTAGAGTGTGATTTTTTTTGTTTGCATTTAAGACATGTAATTGAATCATCAATTAAAAGGATTCTATAACTAGTGTGATCATGTTATATTGTATTATTATCATGTATATTCAGCCTTGAACTTGTATGTCTGCCTCGTGTTTGGTTATTGAAAATCTCAATGTTATTTTTGATTTTTTTAATTGTTTTTAATATTTTCATTTAGTACAGTTGGACATAATGTGTCCAACTGTACCAAATGAAAATATTATCGAGCATATTATGCTTGATAATGTTATTATTTTTTCCGAGTTAAAATACCATTTAATTTGGATTGGTTTTTCATTGTTGTATATAGTTTCGTGATTATTTATAATTTTGTCGACCAATTTTGTGTTTGTTAACAATATACATAGTTTTTCTTTAGAGATTTTTGAAATTAATTTTATGTTTTATGGGTCAATTTAATTACAGATTGTTATAATGTATTCCTTATGGTAAATTTCTTCATTTGTGTATTCGATGTTAATTATTGTAAATTGGTGTTTATTTTAATTAAACCAAAAGAGTAAAAATTTCATACCTGATATGTATTATCTAATGTATATACACATAAAAATCGTAAGTTAGAGCACTATAAGAAAACCACGTCTGGCTTTTATTTTTATAAATGATAACTCCTATAAGCATCGATGCGTAGCTGAAATACTATTGGTTTTACTTTACTGTATTTTTTTTTTTTGTACCTATGTATGCGAATACTTCGCTAGTACTGGTACCATTTTTCTCTACTATACGTGAAAAGATCACAAAACGTATCTATTTGAATCTATCATCGCCATAATTTTGAAAAATTCGCCTCGATTCCCACAATAAAGGGATATTTTCCAAAAAATTACAGTTCATATAAAACAGTCAACGTTGATATTTTTACTTTTCATTTTATATTGTTATAAATTTTTGAAAACTGAGCTACTTTTAAAAGTGAAAGAGTACAATTCCCTGTATGTCTACAGCATAATTCTTTAACTATTAGCCACTCAATTTCTCTTAAAATAATTACAATTTTAAGAAAATTAAGTAGCCAGACTGGAATCTTTAAGATTGGCCCTGGCAACAACCATTACACTTTCTGTGTGATTAAAAACAGTTACTGTCATAAAAACTAACTTATATAACTAACTTTATAAACTAACTTATTATTTGAACGGTAACATCATCTACATCAAATACTCCTGAAGACAGATATCGTGAGTTAACCTATCCAACGGAGAATTTATTCGATAAAAACGCAGAACTAGAAGATATTGACACGCAATACGTTATTTAGCAGAACTAAATAAGTAAATAGTATAAAATATATAATATTCTAATGTGTATGTTATAATATAGTATGGAACCGTGTACGCAAGGTACTTCGGATTAAATCAAAGAAATTAAAAATGAAACGTTTAAGTCATACTTAAGCAGATTATCGACAACGAATGTTAGTAATAACTCTTAATGTAAAGCTTCAATATAAATGAAAAGGCCTCGAGCTTATACGTCTTATACATAAAGGAGATGCGCATAACGATAAAGAAAAAAACAGAAGTATATACACTTCATTTAGAACGTGTTTTTCAAACCGAATGACATGAAAATATGCATATGAACTATTACTACATATTCTAAGTAATAAACAAATTCATGAAAGCTTTAACATATTCATAAGTATTTTTTTTTTTTTTTTTATAATTTAATTATAATCAAGAAGTAAGTTTTTAAATTTTTTTTATTACTTTAGCAATCAAATAATAAAAATAATAATTATTTTCATTAGTTTAACATCAACAATTTACGCAGTCCTTGAATATAGATAATACAACATTATACATGATTTATTTAACTTGATAAACATTACTTATATTAAGTTATTTTTAATAATAAACTTGTTACAAATCAATTTGCACTCTCTTATTTTGAACGTATTGAATTCATTTATCAATACTGAACACATTTTTGTCAAATACCTATACAATTAAATGAAAAATGTATAAAGTAAAATTTATGTTTTCAATAATTCAAAGTCCAGTCGGGGACCCAGCATAGTAGAATTGAGTCATTTTTTAGATTGCTATTGATTTATACAGGGATATTTAAAAACATTAACTGTTTTATAACAACTGCAACTTTTTGAAAATATTTCCTTCATCGCGGGTATCGGGACTTTTTTCAAAATTATAGCTCTTATAGCTTCTACTAAATACATTTTGTGATCTTTTGAAGCAACATTAAGCAAAATCAGTCCACTAGGAGCGGGTTATTGTATACAGGTCACAAAAAAAGAGTCAAGAGTAAAACCAATAGCTTAGCTACACATGGAGGTAAAAAGCGATGTTAATTCAATTGATAATGCAACATTTTTATAAGGGAAGTTTTTAGCTGCAATTGGTTAATACCACAATAATTTAAGGCAAAATAAATAAAAAGTATTTTAAGATTTTTAAAGGTACTAGTATTATTAAAACGTACTAATAAAAAAACTAAATTATTTTTACATACTGTTTTACGTATATCATAAATCATTTATTGTACACGTGTTTGTTGTTAAATAAATACTTATTTTATACTTGATATGAAAATAAAAGCTAAAACGAGTAATTTAATCATCTTATTCGGATCATTATTCAGAATTATAAGTTTACATTCGTTGAAGTACTTAAATGTAAGTAAAAAAACCTATACTGAGTTGATTGTTTCTAAATTGTTTAAATAATTTTTAAATATAAATACAAACATAATTATAACACTTTTTTTTTAATAGAAAAATCTATAAACTATAAAAAAACGGGATAGAGAACAAAAAAATGTATAAAAATACTTACATAATGGTACCTACAAAAATATTTTTAGATTATAATTTATAGTAAATGTTTTATTTCAACTATTTTGTTGTTCACTGAAGTCGACTATCGAAAAAACACATTTTTTTTCTAAATTATGAAATTTTTTTCGGAACAATACAAGGTTATCAAAATTTGGTAAGACATTCATTTCGAAAGAAACTATTGAACATTTTTCATTTTTAAATAAAAACTGTAAGATTTGGTTTAACACTTCAAAAATATATTTTTCATAATAATTTTTGTTTCTTTATAAAAATTTCAAATAATTGTATTCTTAATTTTTTTATCCTATTAATCGTTTGTGTTTTTTTTTGGATTTCAAATAAAAATTTATCATTGATATGGTTTTATAATACCAGTGGCAACAATAATGCCACACTTTTAATAGCTCGTGAATTATTTTCTATGGTAGTTATTGAGAAAAATTTTCTACGCTAGTATTAAAATAAATATTTATTAACTTAGTAAATAAAAATTGGTTATGTGACAGCATAATGAAGAATGCTGCAGTAAAATTTCAATAGAACTTCGGTATAAAATCATTTAACTATAACATGTTGCAACTGAAAACAAGATAAACGGTACATCGGATAAAAAGAATTTAAAGAACAAAATTTTTTCTATCATATTATCAAATTTCGATTTCCCCGTATATAAACATAAAAATGCCATCTCTCAAAAATTACGTTGCAATGACAATTTACTCTAAACTGCCATAATACATTCGTTTAAATATGTAGTGTGTTCATGGCCATCGAGGGCTATAAAGTTTATAAAGTTCTAGCCTATTAATCAATAATATTTTAGATGAGGATTTAATATACACGTGTTAAAATTTTTTTTTTTAAAAATTTACAGAGAGCAAAATTTGATAATGAATTGTATTTTCTTATTGTCAGTGTTTAGTTTTGTAAGTATCAATTAAGACAAATGTGATAGGTATATATAGTATAATGCAATACTATATAGTAAATTTTTTGATTTTTATTGATTTTCATACTATTCAGATTAATCATTTTCAGTAGAGGCTCCATACTCAATGGTACTCTTGTCTAAATTTATAGAGAAACCAGGAATATAGGAAAAACATTTATTGGAAGTCTTCAAATTTTTCACTATCATAATCGTATTTTTTCACATAATTTATTAGATTTATACATAAAATTATTTTTTATGAAAGCTGTTGCAAGTCTAAGAAGACCTTAAGAACAGTGAATCTTTGTTTATTACTTCCAGTTTCTTTTTAATTTTGGTTAAGCTATTAGATATGCAAAATAAATTCCCAAAAAAAAAACAATCAGTACAGTCAGGACCCATCAAAGTAGACTCCAGTATAAATTGATATCTAATAACGATTTACATCACATGATAACTCTACTATGTGAATCGGTCAATTTCTATTGAGAACTGTTTATTTACACAAAATAAAGTAAAATATGTAATAGTAAATATTTATAAAAATTGTGTATTCTTTTTCTTAGTACACAATTAACTGGTTCGTTTTTAATTTGTTTTTAGAAAACTAATTAATAAAATAAAAAAAAAATTTAAAAATTGATAATTTATATTTCTATTTAGATTTATGCCTCAGCATGTATATTGGATGAAAGTATTCTAAAAAAAACTTTTGAACGAAATCATAGGTTATCGAAATTTAGACATGGTAGAGAAAAATTTGAAGAATGCTTATCAAGAAATAAGGTTTTCGAGAAAGTGAAGAAATCAATCAAATTACCTTGTATGATATCAACTTATGCCTCATAACTTATTTGAATTAAATTATATTATATCCTTAATATTTGCCACCCGATCATCGATAAAAAGTTAGGATAACCTAATACATAATATTATTAGGTTTTAAACACCCTAACTTTTTTAGTCCTCGATTTTTTCATATTATGAAAAAATAGTGGATTTTTCTTACCACCCCCGGTATTTTAACATTTGATGACCTTTTTATGTTAATCTTAGAGCATTTGACTGCGGTGAGGAAATATTTGTTATGCTATCCAAGACATAGGATTTTTTTTAGTCCCCCCTCAAATTTGTATCTAGTCACCTTAACCCCACATTCAATAAAAAAAAAAGAAGTAACTTCGTGAGATCGCATCATTTTTTTTATTTTCTGTTCATAGTACAATACTAAAGTTAAATTAAAAATGTTATTTTAATTAATTACAAATATTAATCATAGTAATAGGGGCGTGGTGTGGCGTGGTGATCACACTAGTTGTTGTAAAAATTCTAGTGTTAAACCTTGGCTACAACCGTAGATGAACGGATGGGTGACCATGCGTGCGCTTTTACGGTGGCGAAAAAGCACCATGTTCCCAGTACAAAAGGCAACGGGAAACCACTGCACTTAAATTTCTCCAGGATATACAAATGGTATTAACCAACCTAACGGTTGTAAAAAAAAAAAAAATCATACTAAAAACGAATATAATTTATAACAATTAATCAAAATAATATATAAACATACAAATAAGATAGCAATCATATAACTTTTGAAAATTTCATTTTTTCAAAGATATTTTAATATTTTCTAAGAGAAAATATTATGCTATAATATAATATTATGCTTATTATCTTATATAATTCATTGGTAGAAATAAACTACTGATATATATTTACATTATTGACCATTTCCAAATTTCACTGCTCCTAAAATAATACCGTGAGAGGCAATATCCTTGTCTGCCACTACTTAAATCTGAAATTGTGTGTCAATAATTTCATTAACTATTTTTTTTTTTATCATATTTTAAAATTTGGGTTCTAATATAAAAATAATTTTTTAATAAAATATTTTTATAATATACTATTTTAATAAAATAATTATCATAATTCTTAATTTTTGCACATTCTATGGTATACTAATATATATTAATTACATATAAATAAAAATAATTAAATTTTTAATTAACTCATTTATTGATAATTATTCTTAACGAGAAGACTGTTTTCCTCAATTTGATGAATAACAAAAAAAAATTACATATAGTTTTAGGTAGTTCACTTCAATTTGAATTAAGAGAAATGCTCAGAGAATACATGTACCTTTTATATTATAAAAAAATAGAAAATAATGCTATTATTGAAGAAGTAAAAACATATCTTTGTGATAAGTATAATGAAAAGGAGTTAAAAATAATTGGAGGTTTATTAATGTGTCATGAATGGGCCCAAGTATGCACAAATAATTTTATAACATTCCATAACCAAGAATTAAAACCAAATGTGAGTATTCTGATATACGAAATTTATCGATTAATTTTTAAAAAATGATCATCAATAGAAAATTTGGAGTGTGAACAGGCTCATTAAAAAGTTCGCCCTCTCCAACAAAAGAAAAAAAATGACTTCCTTTATGACTTTCTTAATTATCATCTTCTTATGCATATAACACTGTATACATAAAATTATAAATAATAAATTAAATATATAAATTATAAAATATTGAGTAGATGTATCACATCCAATGACAAAAAACCAATATAAAAATATGTGGAATAATAAACTCATCATATGTTACAAGCACTTTTTCAAGATTTTATATAATAAGTTAGGTTACTAATTAGTTTTTAAATCTATTCCAAGATTGTGATCTATTTTATGGAGGTATAAAAAAAACTTTAAGTGTCATTAACTTAGAATGTGTAGCTGAAAAAATATTTATATTATACTCTATTCCATAGTACATACAAATTCTCTATACTCTATAAAATAATTGTTATGAAAAATCCATTGATAAAACTTTAAAAAAACATAAAAGTGGTGGTGTTTTTAAAATACATTGTGATGTATCCAAGATTTTAAACTCTCCTATTAACTAAATTTTGTTTTACAAGCATATTACAATAAGTAGATTGAATAAAAGCCAATTGTAATTTTTTTTCAGATCCTTTGTAGGATCAAAAGCAGCTTTAATGTATTGAAAAGATTTCCCTCAATTTCTTCTACATCGTCTGATCTATCTAGATCAAGTTCTGATAGGAGTTTTTATTCAGCTGAATCGGGCCTGTTAAGCAGAATGAGCAGTAATTCCAGCATTGATTCTTGTTCATTAGATAGATCAAAAAGTATTGACTCAACCATTGAAAAAGATGACAATTCAGAAGCTGGCGCTGAAGGAAGTGAGGATGTTGGAGATCACCTAAAGAGACGGGAAAGTAAACCTTTGAAAGAATAAAATTAATAATAAGTAAAAATACATTAAAATAATGTTAATAAAATTTATTTTAACGAAAAAAAAAATTACACATTTTAGGATTACATTCGAATATATTAAGGAATATTAATCATGAAAATAAAATACCAGTAAAATTTAGAAATATAATAGTGAACCATGTTTATATTTGTATAAAATTTTTAATGTACCACTCTACTAATTTTGTTTAACTTAGCTTATCCAATGAACTCGAAATAAAATATAAGCAAATTTATTATTCAAAACACTTGGTTTGTCTAACTTTTTGGACTGTCAGTTTACCAACTGAATTAATCACAACAAGTAGATTAAATGTTAAATAGATTTTTTAATTCAAATGTCCCTCAAAGTAATTTAGAATTTACCTTTGTATTTGCTTTAAATTAAGAGTTCTTGGTAAATTTAATGATATATTACACATAGCTAGTTTTTACAAGTTAGGCTTATTATTTTATTCATAATTTGTCTTAATTATCCATCATAGGTATTATTATAATTAATTTTCAGTTAAAATCATCCAGTTTTTTTTAAAGTTTATCTATTGCAAAAAGTGTCCTATACAATCATCCAAATATCCATGATTATTACTTTAAACATTGGCTAGAAACATTTTGGGTTATAAATTAAATATAATATGCACCAGGATATGTATTCAATTATTTAACATGTAAAACTGTAATCTATAAGTAGTTCATTTTTAATAATAACCCTTTTAAGAAAATATTAATTTATTATGGACATTTTTTTCGGGACATAAAAGTTTAAAACACATATATTTAACATATAATTGGACACATTGGCGTAGCCAGAATTTTATAATAGAGAAGTCATAAAATTTTTAAAAAATTATATATTTTAGACCTTTTTGTTCATCACTTAATTATACAAATAAAGATATCTGTCATAAATATAGCTAATAGTCATTAGTTTTATAATTGTTTTTTTAATTATTGAAATACTATGAGCTATAAATTTAGTCTTGTGCAGAATGGAGAAATTATTACTTTGCAATATATGTTTGCTATATTTGTTGAATATTAGTAAATATTTTATGTTATTTCCTGACAAATTTAAAAATGAGACATGAATTTAAAAATGAAGTTAGCAAATATTTAATAATGTTAACATAAAAATTTGATATTGACAAATAATATTTTGAAAAGTACATAACTATTGAATTTTCTTTTTATGATTTCATAATTTCAAATATGATAACTAGACATTTTGTGTGACTATAAATAAATTAGCAAACCAACTATTGTCTTACATCTTTGTCTCCTAATGGAACAACCGAGTGGGTAGAGTAGTGGTAAATTTTTGTACAACTAAAACCCGAGAATATAAGAAAGAAAAATGCGTAGGAATAAGTAACCGATAAAGGTCCAAGTGTCTTGTAATCGGTGTAAACGCATATTATATGATCTTGTAACTGTACAGAAAATACTCTGGCACAGTTGTCTCTTTTGGTATGACCGAAACTTTCCGGACGTGAACTTAATAAATGCGAATTAAAAGTTTTTTTCCCCGTGAATTATTTGTGTAAAACCGCAGTTCTTCTATCATATTTTTTAATAGACATAATAGAAAAAGTTTCATAGCACATAGATTTTCCAAGCAGGAGATTAATCTAAGAAATTACATGACTCCTTGCAGTTTTTACGCTAGTCTATATAACTACTTATATTATTTTTCATACATATGTTACTCCTAAAAATAAAAGCTATACAAACCTTTCCTAACTCTTTATTATTTTGTTTTTATACTATTAAACAATAGTATGGGTCATATTTTACTAATTACATTTTAGTACTAGTATATTAAAAAAATAACCCAGTGCCAGATGTCAAATGTTAAGAGTTCTATGCATTTTTTATGTATTTAAAAATAAATTAAATCATAACTAGAAAACTATACATTTGCTGAAGAATGAAATAGTTTTGAAAATACTTCGTAAATTATTAATTATATATATGTTTGCACATATGTTTCGAATGGTCCTATAAATAAAAATATATTAAATTCTAAAAAGTATTTTCAGAAATGACATATACTCTTATAGTTTTGTTCGTATAATTCATACATATTTTATTATATGCAAACAAAAATCGCGAAAGTATAGTTGTATGTTAAAAGTATAATACATTGTTAAAAAATAAAATTGCTTGAACATTTTGATTTTTTAACGATAAACATAAAACCATATTTGTTCATTTTTGATATTATTAAAAAAAAAGTTCAATAACATTACACTAGGTGTGGTAGATTTTAAGAGAGAGCGTTTATATAATAAAATTAATCAATGAATATTTTATGAACGATAAAAAACATTTAAGGGTTTTTAACCTTCTTTGTAAATACAATAATTGTGTTTACATAATTATTATAATAATAAAATTAAGTAAAACATAAGATAAGATAATATATTTGTATCGTATTTCGATTTTTCTATTTAAAGAAATCCAAACCTAAAAATCTCCCTTTAAGGCGTCTGGGTACCGACCGCTTTTTAGTCAAAAACAACCCGTTTTTGTTCCATCAGTACGACGAAGAAACTACTGATGCGATAAGAATTCTGAAAACATATCTGAATTCAGCATCATGTCACTTGGGTATCGGTCAGGCCATTTTTTTAAAATTTTTTATGTATTTAACCCTTAAGTACAGTTTACATTTTTGAATAATTTTAATTTTTTCAAAATAAATTTTTGCGTTAAATCACAATTTTAAAAAAGTGACCTGACCGATACCTAAGTGACACGATACTGAATTCATGTATGTTTTTAGAATTCTTATCGCATCAGTAGTTTCTTCGTCGTACTGATGGAACAAAAACGGGTTGTTTTGTACGTTCAAACTAATGTTTTTCAAACAGTAGCTGTTATTCTGACATGCTCGTACGCGTATGTGCGTTATCAGCGGCAGCTATTTTATTGCCCATAGAGTTGCGTAGGGCACTACCGACTGCCCAAAAATAGTTACAAATGCATACTTGATTTTACATCTGTATATATGATATTTGCTTTTATCTATTGACCGATAAAGCTATCATTGCATAATGCGAAACAAATTTTTTTGTTATATTCCTATATAAGTGTCGCTAAATAAATGGGGTCATAAAAAAATATTGCTACCAAAAAAATAATAATAATAATAAAAAAATAGGTAATGTATTAACATAACGTAAGTAACGTCAAAAAATATACCTGGTGTGGTACGTGTATATAAAAATAATTTTCATACACTTTCTTAGCTTCGATAGAAAACTGAGAAGGTATTAGTTTTACTATGATGTGTTCTATGCTTTTGTCTATCCATATCTGTACCTACTGGATTGTTATTATTCAACGATACGCCAAAAGATAAAAAAATATATCTTGTTGATGTATTCAGCATTACATTTTAATAATTTCCCTTTAAATTTGACACAATAACGTGTTTTTTTCTGTCACACACTATGTTATCAACCTAAATCTAACACTAAGTAACTTGTGTGATGAGCTTTTTATTTCAACACGTTTGAAATGTACACATACATAAATTGCTTGATCATCAAATAACAGGACAATGCATATGTAAAATAAAGTAAAAAAACAATATATAAGAGGCAGTTACTTAAATGTACGACCTCAAACATTTATTAATATAGTGTACTTTTAGGTATCGAAATTGATAAAATTGAAAAAAACAATAGTGTGTAATATAATGAGGCCACTTCTAGAAAAGTTCTACATGGATTGTCCATTACCAGAGACAATTGACTCTCGTTTTGACAAAGGACTTCCCATAAGAACAAGCTTATAAAACTTAAATATCGTACTGTGTAAATAATGTAATTTTGTAAATTGAATTTTTATAATTCTAATTAAAGTTTTATTGATAATTTTATAACTTCAAAATAATCGATGTAGATTTCATATAGTTAAACGTATTTTCTGTAAATATTTAGTTTTTCTTACTCATCGAAAATAAATAATTTTATTATTTGTGAAATCATGACGCGTCTATAAATAATTACGATGAGGCTGCTGCTAAACTACGGTTTTTATACTACATAAAATAAACGTCCGTCGTTATTAAATCAATATAATCGTATTTTATCAAAAAGTAAGGCAGGTACATAACCGGTTTTGTTATCGGCTATAACACGACGAAAATACTCCAAATAATGGACACTCACACTACTAATTATTTACTTCTCACACAACGACACTGCGTAACATGTAAAAATCGCAAAATTGCCTTAAATATACAAGCTGACCACACATCAAATTTCTAACTAGTAAAAGTACAGATTGCACACAGAGCTATGAGTTATGCTAAAGCAACTTAACTACCGAAAAAAATTTACGATTTCTATCACCACAAATGTTAAAAATGGTACCGAGTACTTATGAGAAAAAAATAACATGTTTTCTGTGGGTATCGATCTCCGCAGAATCGAAATCAATTACCAAAGATTTAGAAGGTGATTAGGAATTTTTTTGATTCGCTATTGGTTTCTGTGGTGAAGTGATACCTATACATTTCTTATCAGCCGCTAATTTCTACAGTGTCGTCTATAGAAATACATATGCTTGCCTTTATTTATGTTTTTAATTGCTATCAAATCAAAAAAATTACGGTATCATTCAACCATTTGCAACAAATACCACTTCAGCATTAATTTTTCATTTTTTTTTTTTTTAATATAATAATATTTATTATTATTAGTTTTACAAATATAATTATTAAAAATATATATACTGAATAAAACTAAGAGCTTTATAAAAAATAACTAAAACTTTAAGCTTTATGAAGTGTAGTAGGCATTCCCATGTTACACATCTAATGACCTACGTAATTTCAAATAAAAAATATCATTATTATAATTAACCACACTACTATAGACTAATGATTTTTTAAGATTCATTAACCAAAAACATTCATGATAAAGACTTAAAGTACTTAGGAAAAAAAAGCTACTTGTAACAGACAATCAAATATAGTTTTTAATACAAGACAATTCATATTATAATATAATGTAGTCTAATTATAAAATTTTTAGCTAGTAATGTACTTTAATAACCAAACTAAAATGATAAATGCTAGGCATTTTCCTATCAGTGTAATTAACATGACACTTCACAAAAAAAATTAAATGAACGGAAGCATATAACAAAAAGAAAATAATTTATAATTGATCTTATTTCGTTCAATATTATTTTCAATACTACATATAGAATTTAACATCCTTATAAACAAATTCTTATTTTTCATCTTTTGGTGATTTACTATCCGATTCGTTTTTTTTATTCCAATCTTGAAGTCCCTTTGGTAATGTTGTGTCTTCATCCATTGATCCTGTCCCTTCAACAAATTCTTCATAAGTTGACTTTTCTTCAAAAGGTCTGGGTCCTAAAAGTTCAATCATGTCTTCTCTACTTAATACTTCCTGTTTTAATAAACGTTCAGCGACCTGAAATAACATAATTCAATGATACATTATTTAGAGTATAAATGTATAAATAAGATGTATATATTATAAGAGTATAATGTATAAAGATACATTATTTTTATAATTTAATTATTATACGCCTTACTTTTTCTATATCACTTTTATGTTTATTGACTAACTCTAATGTATGTTTATGTGCTGATGATATTAATTCTTTTACTTCTGTGTCAATTAAATGAGCAGTTGTCTCTGAATAAGGTTTTTCAAACGCCATTTCACCTGGTTGTGGTAAATCAAAACTAACATTGCCAACTTTTTCATTCATACCAAAGTGAGCTACCTAAATTTATTTGAAAGAATAATTGATTTATGGTTAAATTTTCTACAAAATCAGTATTAGTATTAGAATTACTTGTGCATAGGCACTTTCAGTGACTTTTTTTAAATCATCTTGAGCACCAGTAGTGATTTCATTGAAAAATACTTGTTCTGAAACTCTTCCACCTAGTGTCATACACATACGGTCAAACAACTGTCTTTTTGAATATAAATATTGTTCTTTTGGTAAGTATTGGGCATAGCCTAACCCTTTTCCTCTAGGTATGATAGAAACCTGTAATTTAATATTTCACTAATTTTTTGTGTTAACACCTAAAAACTTAATTTAGATACAAAGAATAATTAATGTATTGTTTTTAAAAAATATTTAAGTATAAAAATAAATAAATTAATTGTAATCCTACACTAATTAATGGGTACTGCAAATACTACACAGTCAAAAATATTAAATATGTAATAAAACAATATTTAATGGAATATATTATGCTGTATGAGATTTTCTTACAGTGAATGAAACAGTTCATTATTCATACATACATAGTAACTAATTTATTTAATAGATAATGATCTAATTGAGAAAATGATTGATTGGATAGAGAAAGGGTACAGCCGAGAATTGATTAGTGATAAAAATAATAATATTTACATTTCATCTCAAGTCATCACTAAAATATTAATACACTCTATTACTCAATATTTCATTTCAGGAGCCCAATAGTAAACCTTATTTTCATTACATGTGATTATTTATAACTCTAATAGAGAATTATTAATATATAAATAAAAGAACACTAGCCATTTTCAGTCTACAATATTTTATCTGTACATTTTTTTAATTAGTAAATAAACTATAATTCTAAATTTATAAAGAGCCAATATAGTCCATTATTGTTACTTTTCAAGAGCAAACAAATATTTTATAACTCATATGGTTCTATTAATAGAGCTATAATTTACAAATATCTTAATAAATATGCATCATAATTTTGAAATGAAAATTAGTGAAAAATGTGTGATAGTATTTCAAATAAATAAACACCAAAAGAAATTTTTTATAAGAGTGAACTGAGGTAAACAGTCTTAATTGTTATATTATAGTATAAAAATTATTTTTTTAATTCTCAATCATTTTTATGTGTTTATATATAACTTGTTCTTACTTTAAGCAGTGGGTCAGCAAATTTTAAAAACCAGCCACAAACAGCATGACCTGCTTCATGGTAAGCTACAACTTTTTTCTCATCTGCTTGCAACACTCTACTTTTTTTTTCCATACCAGCAACTACTCTTTCAATAGCTTGCTCAAAATGTTTCATAGTTATATTATCAGATAAGTCTCTTGCAGCTATTAATGCTGCTTCATTACAAACATTGGCAATATCAGCACCTATTGATAAAAATAGAAAAAACTCAATACTTCAAAAAATCAATTCGGTATCTTAAACTGAGCATAATAATTGTTTTTATTCTAGAAAAAGTTGAGATACTTAAAAAATATTTTATTTTTTACAAAAAAATATATGAAAATAAAATTATTTTTACCTATATATTAAGATATAGCTCATCAAATTAAATTCTAGAATAAAATTACCAAACATTGATCTCTATATTTCTATTTAGTTTACATTATAAATCAATCTCATAAAAAATCACAACGAGTACCAAAGTTAAAATGCACTAAATATTATTAATCATAGAAAAATCCTCAAAGGTTAAAATTGCAAAACTATTTATAAGAGCATTCTTTCTAATCAAATTCAATGAAAAATCGCAATATTTCTGATACGATCACAAATCTGTGATGATATCCCACATTATTATGGTAACACCAACTAGGGTTATATCGTTGACACAGTAACTTTTGTACTACTACAGGGGAGCAGACTGCATACATAAACACTTTTGGAATTCATGGCCACTATGCCATATTACTAATATCCTAAACAGCAGTTGACTTTTTACCATCTTTGCAATCATTACTCTTTGTCTTATATTTAACTTAAATTAGCTACAATGGAAATAGTGTGTGTGTGTGTGACGACACCAGCTCTCTGTTGGATTATTATCATCTCTAGGTATCCAATAGGTTGTATTGTTTACTTACTTAGCTTACTTAATAAACTATTATATTGTTATTAGACAAGAATATTATATATAATTTTAGTGCGACCCTTGGTAGTTCCTCTAAGAGAATATAAATTAAATAGGAAACCTCAGTACCTAAGGTAGATATAGCCTAGCCAGCTATCCCCTGTTGGTCCCTTAGAATACTGTTGATGGGCATTTGGGCTCAAACCCTAAATAGCGACGTAACAGTTTCTATTTTAGAATAAAAGTTTTACTCAATTCAAGACCCAGTAATTAATATTAAATATCAATAAATACCAGTAAAGCCCGGAGTACGAGCAGCTAATTTTCTAGCAGTATCTAAGTTATCCAAATTAGTTTTTAGGGGTTTTAGATGTACGCCAAAAATAGAAGCCCTTCCTTTGATATCTGGAGCAGGAACATATATTTGTCTATCAAATCGCCCCGGACGCATAAGTGCAGAGTCCAAAATATCAACTCTATTAGTTGCAGCTAGTACCACAACATTTGTAGTAGTATTGAACCCTTAAAACAAAAATTTATCTTGTACATTATTCTTAAAATTTAATTTAATATATATTTATATTAAATATATCAAATTACCATCCATTTCAACAAGAAGCTGATTTAGGGTATTTTCTTGTTCAGAATGGCCTCCCATATTACGACCACCTCTTTTCTTACCAACTGCATCTATTTCATCAATAAATAATATACATGGAGCATTTTTACGAGCCATAGCAAACATATCTCTAACTCTAGATGGACCAACTCCAACAAACATTTCAAGAAATTCAGAACCAGACACTGATAAGAACGGAACATCTGCTTCCCCTGCTGTTGCTTTAGCAAGTAATGTTTTACCAGTACCAGGAGGGCCTAAAATTAGAAATTTATTAGTCAATATTCTGAAGAAAATATAAAAGATAAAACTATGTACCTGTAAGCATGGCTCCTTTTGGAATTTTTGCTCCAAGATCTAAATACTGTTGAGGATTTTTTAAGAAGTTAACAAACTCCATTATTTCAATCTTTGCTTCCTCACAACCAGCAACATCTCTACAGAAAAACTCATTTCAGTAAAAATCAAATGTATGATAGTAGATAAAACTAAAAATTTATACTTGAAACGAACGTCAATATCTTTAGGATCAACGAGTTTAGCAGTTGATTCCATTACACCACCAAATAAACCACCACGTTTACCACGACCAGTCATCATTTCTGCAGAACGCCTCATCATAAATAGTAAGAAACCAATAAATAATAGAGTTGGTAAAAATCCTGAAAAACTGCTAGCTTCGACCTCAGTTTTATAAACCACAGGAATAAAATTTGCTGGTTCAATATTAAGTTCAAGTTGTGCATTTTCTAAACTTCTTTCAAATGAGTCAACACTACCAATGTTAAACCATAATGTTGCCTAAAATGAATTTTACATTAATAATAGTAATTAGAACTAGGTAATAAATAAAATTAGAATTCACATTTCCATCGACAGAAGATCCTGGTTGAAGATTTACACGAACCCATTTTTTATTTACAACTTCTAATTTATCAACAACATGACGATTTAGATAACTAAGGAAAATAAAATTATTTTAAATAAAATTAACAACTATTTTTAATTTATTTTAGAATTTTAACAAAACAGTGAAGTTTTTAAAGATTAAAAATCTCTTACTTAAAATTTATACATGAAAAAAATCATAAATTAGATTATATAAATTATAATGCAAAAAGTAAAAGTGACAATTTTTTAACTTAAACACTCTTAAATTGAAATTTTTTGTTTTCCATAATAACATGAATTTTGACTTAAAGTGCAAATTACTCATAGTAAACAAGTCACTGCAAACTTTTTTTTTAATTATACATAATATTAAACAAGCTTTAACATAAAATAATATATAATGTTGTAGGTTATTGTGCAAAAAATTCAAAAAAATGATTCAGATAGTATTATTTATGCTAAAAGCTTCAACTAATTAAAATTTTGCAACCATTTGAGGTATAATTAAACAAAAACCAGTCAAATAGGAATGAAGTGATTGTGTATAGTGAGACAATAAAATTTTAAAAATACAACAAAATAAAACCAATAGTTTCTTAGCAACGGGTAACTAAAAAAATTACTAAAATTTTACATAAGAAATTGCATCATTAAAACTTGTATAAATTAATGAATTTAAATTAATAAAAACGAATGCACTAAATTATTTTTTAATTCTTAAATAGAATAATAAAGTAGTATTGTAATTTGTTCATTAGATAAAATCGAAACTTACTTATTCACAAAATCTTTCCATGTTATTTCTTTATAACTCATATTATAAAAAGCATATAAACTAATTAATGTAATTGTTCCAGCAACACCATAAAGTATCCACTTATCTCTTTCAGAATCACCTGATGAACCACCAGATCTATAAAAATATATCAATATGTTTAAATATAATTAAGGCATTCTCAGAGAAAAGAACATACAAAATTCTGATTGTTAGAAAAATAAAAATCAAAGTTTTCAATTATTTCATTGTATTATATAATATTTTAAGTATTTTTATTGATGGAATTAGTATAATAACATACTTCATAAAATAATTTATTATTGAATTAGATTCATCATTTTTTTTTTTAATCAAAGAACGTAGAAGAAAATTAAAACCTTTTATTAAAGAATGCAATTCATTATACATATAAGTACAATCATTTTTTACAAATGAATCAGTAACAAAATAATGAATTATTCAATATACAAAATAGTTAACATCAAATATTTATCAAACAAAAAAAAAGATATTTTCTAATATTTTATTTTTAAAAATAACATCTATTTTAATTAACTTTAACTTTCAAGTTAATAGTCGAAGAATGAAATCATTTTTTTTTTTTAGAGTTATATTTGATTATCATGTTTAAACTAGTATATTTTAGTATGCCATTGTCATATTGTTAAGATAATGACAATTAAGTCCTTTAAGTATGATCAATATCTAAAGAAAAATATTTGTATAAGTGATTAAACCATACTCTAATGTCTGTAAGACGATGGTAGTTCAAAATGCACATTATTTTTCTAGACTATGTTTGAATATTTATTTAATTCCACTATATGTATATTTAAAAAAAAATTGGAAAATCTTTGGACCCGCTCAAAAACAGCTTTGCTAAGTATAGCTACAATAAAACTCAACTTCAATAATAGATATATTATAACATAGCGGTTATTTTAAAACAATTGCTGGAAATGATGTCATTCATTATAAACCCTTTGTCAGGTGAATGTCTCAACTATTATATGTTCATATGTTATCAGAAAAATAGCAATAATTTAAAATTGTTTATTTTTAATAAAAACATAATAAATATACTAATATTTTAACAATATTAAGCTACTTTCTTATAAAAATCAAAAACAAAATATGTTCTTTTTATTAAATTAAGATGACATAAAAATAAATACTTTAAGTTCGATTTTCTTAGAACATATGTATATTTGTGTTAATGTTATAATAAAAGCTATATATACTTTATGTTTATAGATTTTTCTAACAACATAATTTTACATTACTAATTTCTATAAATAATAGCCAAATGTATATATTTTTCTATTACACCATATAATGCAATAACTTGCGCGTATGAAAAAATATCAACCAATACACTACATATTTATAAATTTTATAATAATTCTACAGTAAAATTTAGCACTGAATTTTTTTTATAAAAAAAAATTGTATTTAATGTCTTAAAAAATTTTACAAACCCTTGTGATATTCTATTTAATCTTTTTCGAAACTCATTATCTAATGATGGTTTTGGTCTTCCAGAGCTACTACTAGACTTTTTACCATCTTTATTTTTATCAGACTTGTCATAATATTTTTCAAAACCAGTTGGTGGTTTTTGACAAAGATTTGTCCATTGATGGATTACTGAACTTAAGCTTGGCAATACTTGACGTCTACTAAGAAGTGTTAAGTGACGTTGTATCTAAAATGTGAAAAAAATTAAAGAGTTTTACACATAACGCACTACTTAAGTGTCAAATGTAAAATTTTTATATATTATTTTTATTACTTACAGCAAAATTGTCTAAACGACCAGTTCGAATTCCATTAACTAATAGTTTTTCAACTTTTTTAGATAATGCAAAAAATCTTTGAGACATTATAAAATGCTAAATTTTAAATACTATGATACACAATAATGATGACTTCAAAGGTGTATTGTACTCTTTCATTTACATTAAAATTGTATTTACTTCAAAAAATATTATGCATCTTATCAATGAAATTGTCATGCACCAAAAGTGTGTCGGGACGACCGGTGATAAGATTAAATTATTAATACTATACGATTATTGACATTCTAATTTACGTACATAGATGGCGAAAGTGTTTTCGTTCCACTTAAGGAGTAAAAAAAATATCAAGAAGATTATTCTTTTGAAATAAAATATAATAAAATTTAAAAAATTATAAATCATATACATTTTGACAAAATTCATAAACTTTTTTTTTATATCATAGTAAATTAAATAGAGTTATGGGGAACGTCACTAATAATTTTCCGACATATTAAAAAAACTCTTCGAATACATTTACTCTGATAACAAAAACTGCGAATACCTGGTTACAAAAATATGCATTTTACTAGGACGATAATTACTCCGACTATGACAATTAATTGATTGCTCCAATTAAAAATTACTAAAATATCGATAATTCGCGTAATCGATTAATAAAATTATGGAATCAGGAAGTTGATGAATATCGTAGCAATATAAATTAACATAAAATAGTGTTATAATTGTTTACTGTCCATTAACAAATAATTATTACAATAAAGCCCATTGCAAAGTATAATGAATTTCGAAACAATAGATATTTTAATGTAAAAGGGCTTAAAACTAAAACAAGTTCAGTTATACCAATAGGTATTAGACCTTAAAAGTTTTTTTTTTTTTTTTTAGGTGAGAGAAGAATGATTCCAATTTTTTTACATTTTAAGTCATCTTTGCCTCTACTTATTAGCGGTTATTATTTAACCTTTGATATTTTATTAGTTGTCGTGTTCTCATTTATTAATTGGTAAAATAGATATAGGCAATACGTGTCACTGATGAAACGATTCCATATTAAACAAATGTTTTATAATGTTGTATATACCTTTATATACAAAACAATAATGTTATATATAAAAATATTCAGTATCCCATTCTATAAAAGTTTCATTCAAATTAGTCTTTTATAATACAATAAAAATTACTATATCAATAGTACGTGATGAATTGTAAAGTATTGTTGACACATGGAAAATGTGTATGATACCTGTTCAATTCATAAGTAATTGGCACTGCTAATACGGATAAATAAAAAGAAAAAATATAACATACGTGATTTTATTATGAAAATTGATATATTTTTTTTAGAATATGCGAAAAACAACACTATTTAACTATTTTTAAATAGTTCATTTTGATTTTATAGAATAATACATTTGTATTTGCAAGATACACGTTAAGCTAAAGACATGAAAACAATGTCAAAACAATCGACTTCTCGCAGTGAAGATTTAATGCGGTCTCAGGAGGCCATCGCAATAAATTTGAAATTATTTTTCTCACTTGACCACTAAGAAAATCGTCTCTGAGGTCACATTACGGAAATTGCTTTTGGATATCCAAGGTTACAGATCGACACTGTCCCTTAACCGAGATCGATTAGATATCGACAAAGCTGAAAGTCAAAAAAAAAATTTACATTTTGACTTTTTCTTTATTGTATCTTACAATATAGATAGTAAATAATCGAATAAAATATGTATATAAATAATAATAAAATTTGACTATCGATAGTGTTTTTACCACGTTTTATTTTTTATTAAATGTCTGAGTTAAATCCGTTGTGGCTATGGTAACTTATGAAATCATTTAATGGGAATATCAAATGTTCGGAAAATTACAGCTATGTCAAATGTCGAAGTATGTTAATATCGGAGCGTTATCAGTTCAAGGCAAAGGTGTTTTCCCAATTAAATATTTCTCTACTGCATATTAAGAAATTTTTTTATAAGACGAAATAATCAAGTCTAATTATTAAATTAATAAAATCATTTTTATTCTATTTTTCCAAGATATAAATAAGTTTTATTTTAAGTTATTGTAACTTAGTTTTTGTCATTCATTTTATTACCACAAGATGTTAGATTTTGTTATGATTTTATTTATATTAAATTAAATAAACAAAAAAAAAAATGTAATATGATTATTTCAAATGAATTATTGTTTTCAACACAATATTGTTGTTCAAAATAAGAAAAAAAATTTAACTCAATTACTCATATATTTTCCGTAAATTGAAAACATCGATAAGATATAGATATATAATTTTAAGTTTTTAAATCAAAATTTGATTTATTTGCATAATGTATCATCACTAATTTTAGTGTTCAGATGTTGAAAAAAAGTAAAAGATAAAATTAATGTATATAACTTTAGTAAATTTTAAAAAATGACTAATTTCAGATGCAATATGATGTTTAAATAAAATTTTTAATAACAACAAAGCTACTTCAGATTTATCTTCAAAGAGTACAAAATATTTTTCACACAAAAATATTCAAAGAAAATGCTGTGTTGGTTTAATTCCCCTGCTAAAAAATTGATCCTACTTGAATAGAAATTTAGAAAATTAAATTCATTATTCATGAAAATTAATTTATTTCCCTGGAAAAATTATTTTTGCTGTGCTAATGTAAAAGAAACCCAGCACAGGAGGTCGCAGCACAGTGGTGACGTGACATAGTTGGGTCAAGTATAATGATATCTGACAGTGATTAAAATCACTATCATAAAAAACGCTTCTATGCAAATCAAATTGTAGATAGTGTTTAATTTTAAAGAATTGATGGATTGTTCCAAAAGTTACATGATCTCCTATTTCCTTATTTATATCCTGATTACAAGTTTTATGATTTATAAGTGTAATACATGAATAAGTATATAATGAAAAATGTTGTTATTTAAAAAAATGTATGTCGAATGAGAGAGGGATATAAATATTATTTCTCATAAAATTTGATCCATACACTTTACAATAAGTTATAGTATTATACAGTTAAAAATGTAAAAAAAAAAATCCAGAATTTTCACACAAAAATAGCATTCGGTAGCCATTTTTTTTACTTTAAGGGAAATTTTTTTAATTGTGAGGGTAATATCTTCGACTAGATACGATTTGTGATCTTTTGACGTATCGTTGAAAGAAATCGGTTCAGTGAGAGCTGAGCAAAAATGGTAACAGACACAAAAAAAAACATATCATTGTAAAACTAATACCTTCTCAGCTTCGCATCGAAGCTAAAAACATCATAAATTTTTGATTATCGTATTATACCTTTAAAAGAAAGGAAATCTTCATAAAAATTCCTAATAATGAAACTAATAACCGAATAGTGTTTACAATATATAAAGTGTTCAGTAAATAAATCAACGGGTTTATATTGTATTCATTGTTTGTAACAGTAGACCAGTATTACTTTTTGTCGGGTTGTTACGTTGCTATTTAGGGGTTTAGCCTAAATGCACATCNTTGTATTCATTGTTTGTAACAGTAGACCAGTATTACTTTTTGTCGGGTTGTTACGTTGCTATTTAGGGGTTTAGCCTAAATGCTCATCTCCAGTGTCCTAACGGACCAACAGGGGATAGCTGGCTAGGCTATATCTACCTTAGGTACTGAGGTTTCCTATTCATTTTATAAACTAACATTCTATTCTGGACAATGAATAATTATTTCATTATAATATTGGCATATCAGTGACAATTTATATTAATATTTTTGTGTATTTTATTATTTACATGAAAGTTTTAAATTAATTTAGTTGATTGCTTAAGAGATTATATTGGCCATATGTGAAAGTATGACAATATTTACTTGACAATAGTTATCACAGTTTATTGATTTGATCAGAATTGTAATGATAGGTCAATGTATTATAACAATACACTTAGTCCAATAAAATTATTATTAAACTAATTTAAATTTGAAGCAATCATAACCTTTATGTCATAATAAATATTTACCATTAAATTAATAATTAAAGTTGATTTGGGTTTATTAAAAAAAAATAATAATAATAATAATCTTTAAAAATGTTTGAGGTTTAAAATATTAATTGACATTTATTTCCACGATAAAATAAAACATTATTATTAAAAAAAAATTAAATTAAATTAAAAGATTCACCAAAACAATATTCACTTCAAAATTTAAAAATAAGATTTATAAGAGTAATACATGAATAAATATATAATGGAAAATGGTGTTATTTAAAAAAATTTATGTCGAATGAAAGAGGGATATAAATATTATTTCTCATAAAAATTGATCCATACACTTTTCAATAAGTTATAGCATTATGAAGTTAAAAATGTAAAATATAAAATCCAGAATTTTCACACAAAAATAGCATTCGGGAGCTATTTTCACCGTGAAGACAAAATAAAGTCCGAAATTTTTTTTCCATAATAAAGTATATTACATTAGCATTATTTCAAGATAAATATAAAAGTGTCAGTATTTCCGGAACACATTATTGGAAAAGTTAATTATTTGTGAAAAAGTTATCATTTTGTATCCCCCTTGTGGACAAGAAAATTGGTCAGATTTATAAAAAAAAATATACAAAATGATAGTTAAATTATAAATTTTTCAAAAAGTTATAGCAGTTTTAAGTAAAATAAATTGAAAAAATGTCAAAAATTAGCGATTTTTAAAATATTGTAATTTTTTGGAGATTTCTCTCAGTACGGGGAACGAGAGAAATTTTTCAAAATTGTTGAGGGTAATGTCTTCGACTAGTTACGATTTGTGATCTTTTGACGTATCGTTGAAATAAATCGGTTCGACGAGAGCTGAGAAAGAGTGGTAACAGACACAAAAAAAAACATATCATAGTAAAACTAATACCTTCACAGCTTCGTATTGAAACTAAAATAATTTCAGGTTATATCAATTTTACATATAATAACTTAAAATCATGACGCTATGTACTAAGAAAACTGTTTTTAGTTTTTTTTTTTTAAATTTAAAGAAAATTTTTAATAATAATGTAAAATCCATAAATAACTCAAAACGATTTACATTTGCCTTTATTTATCTATTCATTTTTCATGATTCTAAAAAATAATATATGCTGTTATATCAAGAAAAATATGTAACTAGAAAAAAGCAATACATTTTTTTTCATTATTGTTTTTATTTTTAGAGTATTCAAGTGGTTTATGTTAAATCTATTACTCTATATATACAACACTACTATGATGTTAATAGTTTAAAAAATACAGTACTGTAAATATTTTAATAAATCATTTTTAATNTAAAATAAATAAGTAGACATAACAAAAAAATCATAAACGGTCCACCTTCGAATTTGTGACGTTACAATGTTTAAATAATATAAATTAGAAAAAATTCTTATAAATCGTGTCGCATTTAAAGTTTTAATATTTTAAGAAAAGCCAATGCTGATATATTAATCTAAGAAACTTAGATAATTGTTAGGAAGTGTCCCTATTTATGTTTATTTAAATCATTTTGATACAATTAACCAAAAGCTTTAACTTCTACTAAATTGAAATTATTTTTATTTTAATTTCATTCATTTTTTTCAGCAGGAAATAATGACGAACTCTCTTTTACAGTTTCTATACATAATTGTAAGTATTAATAAAAAATACTAAATTATAAATATTTTATTGTTTCTTTTTTTTTGTTAAATATAACAACAAATTCAATTAATCATTTAAACAATTAGTAATAATTAAAAATATAACATAAAAATACTCAAGAATTATATCACTCTTTTTACTGTATAGATTTTTGTATCAATATCTTTTGCCAGCGAAGAGTGGATCAGAAAAGCAGAAGAAGATTTAGCGAAATATGATGTTGCAAAAAGTAAATTATATAACTGCATGTATAGAGAAGATAGACTAAGCAAGAGTGCATTCAAATTCTTCAGAATTTTAGGAAAGTATATTTTGTTTTTAAACATGTAACGTAAAAATCGTTACCCCTTCATTTCTGTTGTATATTTATATTTTTTGTAAATTTTATTAGATTTTTATTTTAGTTATGCCGACTGCATATCGTGACATCGTTTATTATTTACATAATCATAATTAAGTGTTGTGATTTATTTATCAGCATGCGAAAAATCAACTGCGTACTACTCCCGGAAAAAAATAACGGTTAATATAGTCATAACTCTAATAAAAAAAAAGTTCCATAACTAAATAACTAATTAGGTTAACCGAACATTGTGTTAATCCAACTGTCTTAATTGCACTTGTATTATTCAAACCGTAATTTTGATTTAGGTTACCTAAATAATTCATGCGCTTATTTGAAACTAAAAATATGTCAGATATGAAGATTGAAAAATGTATTTCTGCCATTTAAATAATTCTTTATTAATTACACGACCTTATTTTAAATAATTAGTTCTTGGCAGTAAACTCTTGTACAGAATAATCGCTTAAGTATAACACATTCATTTCCTCAGAAAATACTAAATATTTTCAATTTTTGTAAATGAAAAAATTGTTTGATTCAAGAAATAAACAATTCAATAATGTGTAGTTAAATAATTAATTTCTTCATTCTTTCAGAGATAAAAAACCTAAATTTTAAGTTCATTTAATGAGAACCGCAGTTTGTAGTTTAATAATGTGATAAAAAAAAAAGTTTTCAAATAATTTTGACCTTGTAATTTTTTCATCATTAATTAAGTTTTCCTTATACTGCAGGCAATAATAATCTGTTTCAAAAAGTTATAAATAATCATTAGTTAATTACTGTAAATAAAAACTTGTTTATGTGACATTATAAAGAAATGACGACTACTTCATGCTAAACAGCAAATTATCAATCGAAAATTGGACAAAAATCGCTAAACTTTAACGAGCAATAGCAGAAAAACGGTTAATCAAATAAAAAATATTATGAAAACAAAACTTTTTCCTAACATATTATTTAACTATAGATAAGGAATTTTCATAAATGAAATTAAAATTTAGGGATTTTAACCCTAAATTATTAAAAATTTTAAATATTTAATAGTTTCCTAAAAAATGAGTGTCTTATCCTTAATAAATCACTTTGTATTAAAAGATTACTAATTAAAACGATTAAATTTTATTAAATGAGGTATTTGACATCTCCCTCGATTTATATATATGAAGGAATTACAATGTATAATATATTCATAATTGTTTTTACATGTCATAATATTAGTACTTACTCCATAATGACCATAACTTAAAAACAGTCAATGAAGAAGTTATCTCCTACTATAAAAAATTCCACATTAAATTACTCTCTCACCCTAATCCCCTAATAAAAAACCACTTAGGTTTAAAACGTAAGTGGTGCCCTGATCTTCATTCTAATAATATTAATACATAATCCAATTAATATAAATATAAGTACAAAAAATGTTTTCAAAAGATAATGGTAAGTGTCACTAATGAGTGGTTTCTTCTATCAAAATGTATTCATGTAATATATTTCTACATTTATCATACATGCATATTGTGCTCATTGTACAGATTGTATATTTCTGTATAAAAAAGATAATATTAGTACTCAAAGAAAAATAATTTTTGACATTTTGGTATTGATGAATTCAGTTTTTTATTCTTTATTTGATTATGCAGCCTTTAGCAATAAAAATGTATATAATTTTTTTTTAAACACAAAAAAGACATTATAACACAATATAAGTCTATTAAGAGGTCAAAACTTTGAAGTCTCTTATCTCAAAATTTCATTTTCGAGTTTCTTATTTCATTGATAATAAGATATATTGATGATTTGTTTTTAAAATGTATGATTTTTTTTTGTAGGTAAATATTATGCAGAGTTTGACTTATTTTTACTTGAATGTAGACTACTTCTTTTGAGAAATATTAGTAAAGAAGAGGTAGATAAAGCCATACTAAATTTTATGTGCGAAAGAGTAAGTAAAGATTTTAAAGTACTAGGAATTGAGGAGTGTGAATTCAAAGCTGAAAAATGCTTACCAGTATTTCATGAACATGTATTTAAGGATATAACACCCTCAGTAAGTAAAATTTTCAAACAATATTAGAAATATGTTGCTTTAAATTGTTATACAATTATACTATCCTTAATTCTTCCTTCCTGTTTTTTTTTTAATTACTATTTAAAGCTTTTTCACAGAAATATATAAAACGATTTAAAATCACTAATATATTCATGCAAATATTAAAAATTGAAACGTTAGGATTTCACAATTCATTTTTTTATTATGTGATGATATTAATTAAGTTTTAGTGTTTTCTAAATTTTCTTTTACATTATTTCTACTTGAATGTAAATTTTTTCTTGGAATAAATGTATTTTTTTGGTATAATAATATATCTAAAAAGAAATTAATTAAAATATAATGTACTTAACATATATGTAGTAGTGTAAAAAGATTTTATTTGCATGATACTGTAAATTTAGAAGAAAAAAAAATGCTTGCAAGTATTTCATGTTTATGTCTTTTGAAGTTTTGACTTCTTCGGTAAATATTCTAAAATAAAATTTGAAGCACTTTAGACTAACACTAATTTTTTTTCATATAATTGGAAATTAACACGATGAATAAACACATTAAAAATTTATATTTTATATAGCATGCAGGTTATTTTCACTTTTAATAATAGTATATAAGTATATAAAAATAATAATAGTATTAAATGTATGATATCACATTTTGTTTGTGCTAATAATGATCATTCAATTTCATTACTGTATCTATCTAGGTTACCACGACTATTCAAAATAAATTAAAGTTGTAGCATAATTATAATTTTAAATATATGTAGTATTTAGTGTACTCAAAATTTTATTTATTTTTTTTAAGAACCTTTATTAGAAAATTTACAATCTATACAGCTATATGTACAATAAGTAAATATGTTAATAGGAGTAAAATAGATCAGCTCTAAGCACTTCGTACCCAAAGATTTTGAGAGAAGACGTTTTAGTAAGATGAGTTTCCGATATCATAACAATATCCACTTTTTCTTTTACAAAATTAATTGTAATTCGTTGATGTTATTTAGTATTCCATTGGCATTCCACAAGAGGATTGTGAGTAGGTGTAATTGTTGATTAACGGCCAATTTTAAGAAGTTTCTCGAAGAGAGTCGTGAGGAGTGAGATAAGTGAATTGATTAGCGGTTGGGTTGATTTTGTCCACTTAATTGGATTCTTTGCTGTGGTAGGTTGAGTAGTTTTAGAGTGAGGAAGGTGTGGAAAATTTTGAGTGGTTAAGATTTTTTCTGAGTGAATTTAATCTGAGTTTACGTTTAGTATGTAATTGGTTTTAATGTTTGAATTGAGATGTGATTTTCTGTGCTTTAGTAGTTCTTTACAAGACTGACAGTCCCTATAGTTTGCCGGGTGGGAGCCTCCGCATAGAGCGCATTTGGCTGGTTCATTTCGGTTTTTTGTGCAAACAGAGGAGTCGTGATCTTCACCACATCGAAAACATCTGGGGTTGTGGTTGCAGTAACTCCGGGTGTGACCATAGGACTGGCAAACGTTGGCATTGGGGGATTTCTTTTTTGGTGTGGGGGACTTCTATTTTTATTTTAGAATAGCAGAGGGAAGTGAGTTTAAATATTTCTTGATTCAGTTCAGCTTGCTCGAGGTCAATCTGTATGAATCAGAGCTAAATGTTTGTAATTTAATACCTTTGGTAGAGCTTTTGCAGAAAAAACTAGATGCGTCGGTGAGTTCTTTCATTTTGAGGCAAAAAAAATTGTAGTTTATTCATGTTTGTATGAATATAGGTGGAGGTAGACTTTTTTTGTTGGTGATATTTTCTACAATTTGTTCATTAGTGCTGTACATGGAAACGTTTTCAGTCGCAGGAGAGATTGGTGTGTATCTTTTTTGATAGATGAATATACTCGTATCAGATTTTTTTGACTGGGGTGAGACGTTATAAAGCGATCTGATGCGTTTGTTTTTATCGACTGTTTGTCATTTTCGTTGTCCGAGAATTCAAAGTGCGATTTATCGGTAGACTGGGAAAATCTTGATTTGGATAAGACTAGCGGTGAAACAGTTTTTTTTTTTTTGTTGTATTCATAGTTGAGTTATTTGGTTGACTTGTTGAGATAATTATAGTAGATAAGATGTACGAGTAATTGACCTCGAACCGTCGGCGGCCGTTTGTTTTGTAGTAAGTTGTGAAACTGGTTTATTTTAGTTAAAGGTGTGTTGTGATAAAAAATAATTGCATAATACTTGATTTCTGTAGTGTTGCTCTTTTGGGAGTCTAACACGAACTGGTACTTAAAATTACATTTAATTTTAAATGTTATAAATATGTACAAATAACTATTCTTTTTGAAAATTCTGAATTTTGACCACCATTATTTCATTTTCGATCACTGCAAGGCATTATCTTAGTTAGATCATTATCAACCGAACAAACAAATTAATTATGTGTGTTGCCATTTATAAAAGTATGATTGACACCAGTATATAGTATAAGGTTTTTATGAAAAGTAATTCCTGATTGATAAACTGAGAAAAACATGGAACTAAAAGAAAGCAATAAAAAAATTTATCAATATTATATTTATTTTTATTTTTAGATAACGAAAAAAATATTAAGCAATTCGCCATTGTCAAAATTGTACAAAAATATAAATAAAAGTAAAAAATCCTACCGAGAAGTTATGGAAATTGATTCAAATGAACTAGATTCTGAAAAAGTAACAAAAGTAGATAAATTCTACAAATCTTTAAGTAAATTAACTGAATCAAATGTATCTGACATTGATAATGAAACAAACAATAACTAAAAAATAATTTTTACTATATTCAATATCTATAAAAACCATATTGTATACCACATATTACCTATGATAAATGTAAAAATATTTTTAGCTTAGTTCAATATTTTTTTCAAAAATGTAATAAGTACTTTTATTAAAAAATTTTCAAATAAAAACTATAAGATAGCGTGGTGTAAACCAATATGGCATTTTCGAAATTTTTCCTTATTTAAGTTAAATTAAATTGAATTCATTAATTAAATGATTAAGAAATCATCAAAATTTCAGACATCAGTGCTCTAGCGCAAATATTAGTCATTAAATAACCAATTATACTAAAAACACCAATATAAAAACATCTTTAATACGCTTTTGTAATTTTACTCAATCGAAACTGATATATACATAAATACAAATATAAATTACGGTAGGTATTATTAAAACCCTTTTATTCAAACGAACATTTTGCATTTTACAAAAAAACCAGAACAATTTTTATTTTACGTATACATAAACATAATATACAATATATATTAATTATGTCATATATTATATCATGTATATAGTATTTGTATTTTTTATTTTAATGTAACAACAACATGTCGATATTTTTTCAGTTAATATAATACAACGATCATATAAATAATTTATTAATAATACATCCATAGGTACTAAATTAAATTATTACATTCACTCAAGGTACCTACAATTTTAATAATAATTATTATAATAATTATACAATATGATAATGATTACAATAAAAAATTAAAACAAAACAAATGTATAAACGATTCAATTATTTATTTACAGAACAAATCTAGGAATGTATATTATAACAATGTAACTTTATATTCATCTAAATATCAATTGATTTTATTTCTTTGGTTAAATACTGGTTTAAGTTGTTTTTTGGTATTTTCTTACAAATAATTAATGAAATATTATTCGAACTTTAAGTACTGGCAGTACTGTAACTATAATAGCTTAAGAAAAAGTATATTGGACGTATACTGAACGTCTATAAGTATAATAATTTCTTAATAACAAAGAACAAAATATATAAATAGCGTAGATAAGGAAGAACAGAAAAATAGGAAAATAATTTTTCCCGAAAATATCGAGAAAGATAACGTAACTAAAATTTTAAAAATCTATTAAAGACAACTATTAGAATTATTTTTCTTTTGAGGTACATGAAAAATTTAGTACTGTTAATATATTTTTTTCTTTTTGTAAAATTTCTTGTAAACTTCAGCAGTTTAAAATTACAAAATAATAATTATACATACTGACTTATTGTTAAGAACACACATCTGGAGAACAGTCTAAAAGCACAATAAAAATTTTAATAAAACATGCTCCGTGTTGTAAGTTACAACACCAAAATTATTATAACTTTTTGTATGATTAGAAAAATGTTTATATTTAAAATAATACCGGTTTCTCAATAATACTTCTTTAAATTAATATAAATTTTGCATTGAATTAATTAAACATTTTTTACATAGGTAACCATTATCAATGTAGTACATTTTTTAATAGATTAATACATTATTCTATGGAAAGTAAAACCGTTGTTTAAGATTTGTATGACTTTATTAATTTAACGGTAATTAAATAAGTCTTAATAGAAATTTTCATTTTATTTTTAAAAAGTTTTGTTAAAATTAATTAGCCAAAAAAATTGTATTCAAAATAAAATAAAAATTAATTTTTTTGGGACAAGACAAAACATTTTGTAACAAGTAAATAAAAATGAATTACTACCAATTATGACCAACTGGTTGTGTATGAACCCAGAAATTGTTTTAGACCGTCTTGTTGGTTTTTATTTATTTGTAACAACAGGGTTTAATAAGTCATAATAAAATATTCATTGATTTTCTCTATTTATAAATCAATAAATGGTACCTATTTTTTTAATTACCCTGTAATCCATTTAAATTTGGTGAATTTTTTTAGTTTTCGTCTTAATGAAAGTATTTTTAGTTATAATCACAATTATATTGTAGGAACAATAACAAATTTGTTTAAAACATTGATAATAAAAAGATTATTTAAGATTTTTGTTTTAATAATTGTTTTAAAATTAAAGTTCTGTGTTATAAAAACAACAGGTGACGGTCTAGGACAATTATATTATATTTATTTCAATAAAAATTTGTGAATATTCAGGAGCGTTAACAAACATCTTGAATAAGTATATCAATTATAATAGTATATAAAAATAATAATTTTAGCATAATTTTTTAAACCATAAAAAAGCGAGTCATATGATATCATATTATTTAAAAATTAATTCAGTTTTGTTTATTATTTTAAACAATCGAACATTTATAAAAGAAACAAATCTGTCCATTGAAGCGCCGTATTATTTTGGTCCCTAGTAATGCTCATTGTAAGCAATTTATTTATGTTTCATTCACCGAGTTAAATGAAATAGAACAGTGTCAGTTGTAAAAATTAAACAGAGATATTGGTAATAATTATGTGATAGTATGAAGCGATCGAGATGAACTTAAATAATTAAACTGTATTAAATATATCTGATCTACTTATATTAATAAAAATTAAAATAACGAAATAAAAAATAATGCTTTATAAATATCATATTAAAATGAGTATATGTGGAAGACTTGCGACTAATAAGACACTACAGGCCATCAAAAATATCAAGACGCTTGCAAAGTTATATATATAATAGGTACAGATTTGATCAAAACGTAAAAGCCTTTATCTCCAACTCATTTGATTTTTTTTTTTTTTTTAATAAAAAATAACAATTAAATATACTTACATATTCATTTGATGCAATTTAAGATAAAATCTTGACTGAAATATTTTATCATCCATTAAACATTTTTTTATTTAATTTAACAAAAACAAAACAATTTCAAGATGGTCCATACTTTTGATTGGAAATGAATTTATATGTTATATGTTACAACCTAAGACCACTCATTTTGTCTTTGTTAGAAAATAATCTCATCAAAAGAATGGTTACAAGTACGATTCCAAACAACGTTATTTGATTAAAAAAATATTACAGTAATTAAAACATGTTGGAGGTAACTTAACGAAGGAAACATCTTAGCTATCACAGCACAGCACCTTATAGGCGTTTGGAGACCTGAGTGGCCACCGGATTGCAATTGGAATACTAAAATATAAAAACAAACATTTTATCATTAATAATAATTATTATGATATTAAACAACAAAATTAAACACAAATAATGTCATAAACAATAAAACTTAGATTACATAATTTATTATTTAATTTCACAAGAAAATTATTTTGAATTTTTATTATATTTTAAATATGAACTCATTAGTCACGTTAAGTATTAAAATTATTTATATTAAGTAATTGAATTGTAAGATGCGTATCTTTTGGTTTCAAGCTCAAGTAAATGTTTAGATTTACTAAAAATTTTAAATTGATTTTTGTTGAACTTTTTAGCCAGAATAAGTGTTAATACTTATTAATCAAGGCATACATTAACATTATTTGGTAGAAAGACGCTCTTTCTCTAGTTTCATTTTCTTCTGAAGAAAAACACAATGATGTTCTTAAATTTTTTTTTTTTTTTTTGTGCGACACTAAGCTCTCCGCAATGTCTATTGTGCTTATATTTTTTTAGAAAATCAAACAATAAACGATTTTTATATAATTTTATAATAGTGACTAGAAGTGAGGTTCGGGGGCTATTATTTTTATCACTAGATGTTGCTCGACTTTAATTCTCTTTCCGCCTAGGTTAAATCATGTTTACATACAACATTTTTTTTTAGAATTGTCTGTATATTGAACAATATGTATTGAGAAAATATAGAAATTCATTTTTATATTTAATGAGTATGAAAAATGGATGTTTAGTGTATTTGATTATAATAATTATAAACATAATTATTATGCTCCACCTGTTAGTCAGACGTCGGTTTCGATACTAAACCTCTTGATGCTATTATTATTGAGCCTAACCACAGTGGCACAACTATTGAACCGCTTTGGCTGCTGGGGTGGAGGCAACGACAGTGGCGGTTCGTCCACCTCCGAGTCCAGTAAACAATTATCAGTTGACTCTAAATCCATAAGATCTGATGTCGAGTCGCCTCGAGGGTATTTAATCATGTGTTGACCTAAAAAAATACATTATGTTATATTTCCCTTTACTACTAGTATATAATATAGATAGGAATACCTAGAGTACCGGGAAGATAAGGGCAGCTAGTAACATGGTTGAAATTTTGCGATTGCATGTCTTCTTGGTCAGTCTCTCTGTGGTAAAAATAGTTGAAATTGGACACGATAACGGGAACTGGTAGTGCGATTGTAAGTACACCGGCAATCGCACACAATGAACCAACAATTTTTCCCCACACACCCACTGGTCTAAAACACGTTTTAAAACAGCACGTGTCAGCAGGATTTTGGATACATTTTTCTTTAATACATAACAAGCGACTTTGATTTTCGATCAAATCAAACAAAACAAAACAAAAAGGGTATGTATTCTAATATAATAATAATGAAAATTATTCGCATGCTGAATAAAAAAAAAAAAAAAAAATATATATATTTTTTTACGTTTTCAAATAAGTTATTGTAATGTTATGATTATTTGTTTAAACGATTAAATTTGTTTACACACTTAAAACGCACACAAACAATACATTTTCCATCAATTATTTATTTTTTGAAAATTAAACTATAAAAATACAACAATAAAAATTAATTGATTAGCTATTGTTTTAGCGTGAGGATATGTGTTATAAATATAAAACATGATTTTTTTTATAGATTATGAAGTAAAACGTACATTTCTAATCAATATAAGTTATTATTTTTAATAGAACTGAACGATTTTTTGGTTGACTCGAAGTCTAAATTAAATTAATTTAATCCGTATCCGGATTGAACGGTTTCAATCCGAATTACAGATTAAATACGGATTATAGATTGAATCCGGATCGCTAATAAAATCCGTGAAATTGTATGATATCAATATATTAATATTAATGAATTGATTACAGATGTTTATTGTTTAATATTTATTTTATGTAGCTAAATTTTTATTTTACGAATAAACAGATTTTATTGGTAATCTGGATTGTTCGGTGTTTTTACAACACATATTGATCCAGATTAGAAATCCAAATACGGATCAATCCGTGTTTTTTTCTCAGCACTAGCTTTATCATAATAATTTTAACTTAGAAAATTAACTGACCATGCAAACAAAAAATAGCTTTTACAAAATTATTGATTAAAGATAAAACACTCAATTTCTCAGTAATTATTGAACATTTGAAATGTTTACAATGGAAAATGTTGTTCGATTTGTATAATATACTTTTGATATATTTTTGTAAAAAAAATTCTACAATGATATGTAGTTAAATGAATTATGCCTGTTAATAAACGCATACTCTGATAATCAACGTAAGTAAACTATCATACATTGTTGAATGACCTGAGTGGAAATTTTTTTTGATAACTACAATAAAAATAATTTATGAGCTATTAGATTAGGTTATTGTTGCCTTGGGTATTATGAAAATCAATTTAATGATGAAATTGTATTTCAACAAAATCTTCAAAAAAAAAAAAAATTATTTTTCAATCATATTATAAATTTAAAAAAAGGGATTCCCATTAAAGAAATTAAAGTTTAAGTTTTTATCCTTGAAATAATAAAAAGAAATTATTTAAATTACATATTATTGTATTTTTTTTTTTAATCAAACAATAGTTTCCTTTTCGGTAATTTAAAACTTTCAATAATTTTCAAGAAAATAAATATTTCGTCCATAATGAATCCACTTTGTATGAAAATAACTCTGCATAACTGAAATTCCATTCAAGTTAATGTAGAACAAATATAGCATGCAGTATTACATAATTAATTAATAACTAGAAATCTAAAACTAAACTATCACAGAAAAAATTACAACACTATGAGTAAAAACTACAGCTAAACAAACCAATTATGTTGTTAAGACAATGTGTAAAGTGACTATGTGTTAGTAAACTGTTACATCTATAACGTCTGCCTAGGCATAATGTCGAAGTTAAAAAATACTCTAAACTTTTTCTAGAATCTATTGAGTTTCTAGGAATAAATTAAACTCTATCTGAAAACAATATTAAACTATTATTTAATGGTAACAAGTTAAATCTTTTGATAATTAGCTAAACTAAAATGTTGAATGTACCAAAATTTCAACTATGTGGATCTATGAGCCACATAAACTAATATGTTTGACCTAATCCACACCTTGGCGAACTCTATTTGAGCTTACAGTGACAAGACGACTATCATAACTAAATTAAATAAATACACAAGTTTTTTTTATAAAAAAAAAACATATACATTTTACTTAAAAATATTACGAGGAACTAAAAGGTATATACACTTTCTACATCATTACTTTGAGGGTGCCTACATCGTATAATACAAAATTATCGGAATATAATATATTAAAAACGTGATGGATGTACCAAGTCTTATCATTAATAAATACAAGTGTGTTATTTGTTTAAAGATATAATTTATAAGATTTAATTAGCTAATAATAATATTGAAAAACTACTGCAGTTGGAAATTAGTGACAGCTGTGGTATACGGTATTAATGACACAAGCCTATTTACGTTATGTTAAATAAAAACAATACTAATGTTAGACTGATAAGACAACGAATGAAATAAAAATTATACGATTACGAAGTATACTCTAATGCATATATATATATATATAAGTCAATAATGCGACTGATTAATTCGGTTAAAATATTAGTAATTGTTGCCAACAAAAGAAAAAAAAAGGAATACATCTATTTTTCAAAGAAAGAGATAATGGCTTCTAAAATATGTTAAAATGCAAGTAACTATTTATTAGTGAATAAATAAAATATGGAAAAAAATAAATTTCAATAACTGTCTAATTTTGTCTTAATGAAATTGAGTACATCATACGTCATGTCACCATAGCCCACAGTCGTCATGGTAACAACAGCCCACCAAAATGCGTCCGGGATAGACTTGAAGAAGGAACTCTCTGAGCCGGCTTCGGCGAAGTATACCGCGCTCGAGAAAAGCACCACACCTGAAATTCATTTGGACGGTGACTCATGTAACAATAAAATGAATAATCATAAAATAAAACCAAAAATAATAATAACATAAAAAATACATTGAACTCGATAAGACGACTCGACTAGTTCATCCAACGCGACACTTGTAAGTACTTAGTTACTTGACGTAACAACGCCATGGGAAATAAATAAATCAGCAGCGACAATCGAATCTCAACGTATCTGCGGATTAGCAGTTAGGTGTGGTGGCAAGTCCTCTGCCTGTACGACGACAATATTATTGCTCTGACTGTATATACGCAATCTCACATGTTAAGTAGTCATGTCCGTCGTGTGTAATGTGTGTACATGTGTAGTCTATGTCAAGTATGGTAAAGTGTGTGTTGGCAATTAGTTACCTCATGTCACCGTATCCGACTGTCGTCATGGTGACCACGGCCCACCAAAAAGCGTCCGGGATGGACTTGAAAAACGACTGATCGGAACCCGCCTCGGCGAAGTACACGGTGCTCGAGAACAACACCACTCCTGGAAAACGACAAGCTCAAGCAACTATGTCCGGTAATTACCCCTAAACCCTCCCCTACGCTATTAAAAACACACACAGGCACAATAACGCTGAATCGACCAACAGTTGTAAAATTGCTGAACTTTTATTTTTGTTTTTCTGTCGTTCGGTGATAGCTAAGATTTTAAATGTTTTTTTGTACCGCAGTTTCAACACTGAACTGTTGACACACAAAATTTTGCTAAAATTTATACCGGTAGTTACTTGTATACAACATCGCTAAGGATTAGGTTCTACTATACACATCAAGAAGTCCATTTTAAACCGATTAAATACACAGCGATTTCAATTTATGATAACCGGCATAGGTTTTCATATCATTATTAATATGACTATTTACCATTACTACATCGTAATAGGATGAAGACGGTGCATTTTTTTATTATTATTATTTTCTTTGAACGCAACTTGCATTAGAATTAGTTGCTTTATACATATTGTTTTCGTTGGAAATATTTCAGATAAAATAAAAATATCCAATCCCATTGTCGCGTATTGCTAATTTTTATACTGTAACCTATTCCGAATGAAAAATGCAGAATTAATAAAAAAAACTTTTGACGGTGAAAGGCTTCTAGTATCAACCGCTTTTGAATGCGCTATTGAGAAACATTAAAATTCCAGCCTATTGAGGATTAAAAGCTCCGAATTTGTAGTGTAATTTTTGTTTGACCTCAGCGTTAGATATGTAATTTTTGATGAATAAAAAAAAGGAAGGAAAACAATGGGAAAATACGGATTTCTACCGCGACGATGACGGTGGTAGCCGGAAAAGTGGGCCGTTTTTCTCAATGACGTTATTCACAAAACCCCGGACGGATGACGTCATCCAATCGCTAGTGTATCCATGACGACGGGGTCCCGGCCTGGTTCAGCACATATTAGGTGTACGTGTACGCGCGCGCGTCTACCGCTACCATCCGTCGTCGTGGGCCATCCGGGAGAACCCAATTGTGCATTTATGTATGTCTGTCGGTATACAATATAATTATCGTATACAATTAGGAATTCTATTTAGATGAATTATGAATATGTTTGATTGTGTGGTACGAGAGAACACGAGTAGCACGTTGACTGGTACCAGAATAGCACAATTATTGCGAATTCAATGGTTGCCAGCGATGGATTTCTCCCACCGATGGATTTCTCGCACCGATGGAGCTATGCGTTATTGTGTATTAAACCGGTCGCCAATCAGTTAATCATTTACCGTTTGGACGGATTTATGACGCCATTGTTTTCAGTTAATACGATGGAAAACAACCAACCCGTTAATGGGACTGTCACATTATAAACGTTTAAGCAAACCAATTAATGAGTTGACATGAAAAAATTCTCTATTCATAAATACCTACAACGTGATTTTCTTAACGTCCGCCACCCGACTTCTCTGAAACTTGGAACTTAGTATTTCAGAGGATATTAACATTTTTTAGCGATGGCTGCACGTGAGACTCGGGCACGTTAGTATTTATCATTAGACGTTTCTTAATCACACCTCTCTTCCCGCCTAGATATAAAATTGTTAATAACTTGAAATATGGGTCAAAAGTTGCTATCGACCAGTCATTTACTAAATTAAATCATATTTTATTTCGTGACCTAGTTGTGTTTTGCCATTTGAATAAATTAAGTTGTCGCCCTTATAAGCGACGAATTTAATAAGTAATTAATAACTGATAAATTTATGAAACTAAAAAATACCAAAAATAATTTGCTCAATACAATTATTATTTTAAGAGAAATCGGATGGCCAGCGTTAAAAGAATCTCTAAAAATTGCTCTGTTTTGGTATTATAATGAAATTAGTACCAATTAAAGAAAAAATAAAACTATTACTTAAATTCCGTATTATGAATCCTTAATGTGATGTTATATACAAGTACAGTTCACAATATTACAACAACAAAAATGAATTATTTTAATTTCATAAATAATTTAACTTTCTTAGTGGCCTTAGTCTATAGGACTAAGTTTTTTTTTAATAATTTAAGTCTCTCCTAGATTAAAAAAAATACACATATACTTAACTTAATGTTGTCTATGTAGTGAAAATTTGAAAAAAAACATTTACGAATTTCGAATTTCAAGAAATTATCGAATTATGTAATTTATGATTTTTATGGAAATTTTGCTTTTTAATGAATAGTATAATTCAATCTAGAACGATGAAAAAATATCGATATATTGCACATTTGTATTGATTTATTAGTTTGGAGTTTTAAGTGAAATTGATAAAAATATTTTAATGAAATTTGAAGTATTTGAGATGTACATTTTGAATAATGTAAAATTGACATGGAAAATATGCTAAAGCGTAAATTTAATTATATTGAACGATTAAAACTACATCTCGACTTCACATTTCATTCATCTAATCATTGACGTATTTAATAACGTCATCAGTTGACATATAGCTCTAATCCTATTTAGAAATATGCTAAGACTACTTAGTTTTTCCCTCTACTTGGTATTTCGTGAAATACAATCGATTAAAAATAATAATAAATTACATGAATTATTAAAAACCTTATTATTCTATTAAAGATACTACGAATCCCATGTAATCCACGATTAGCAGTGGAAGGTAAAAAGACTTTTCTTACCGATAAATAAGAAAAATATGAGCAATCCCAGTTCTCTCATGGAGGCTTTCAGGGTGCGACCAAGAATCTGTAACCCCTTGGAATGTCGGGACAGTTTGAATATCCTGAAAACCCTCACGAGTCTAATGACCCTGAGTATAGCCAATGACATGGCTTGGTTGGTGCTCTTATCCTGCGGATTCTGTGGCGCCTTGGGTAAGTTCATTGTTGGATCCTCTTCCTCGGCGATCACGGTGGCAAGTGTGATGAAGTACGGGATAATGGCTATTATGTCGATCGTGTTCATCACGTCTTTAAAAAAGTGAAGTTTGTTTGGACAGGCGAGAAATCGGACGGACAACTCAAACGTGAACCACACGATACATATTGTCTCAATTAAAAAGAAAGGATCAGTTATATCTGGCACCTCATCCTCCTCAATTTTCGTCCTATTTGTTGTCGTGTTGAACACTTTATAATGTTTAAACTCAGGTAATGTTTCTAAACAGAATATCACAATGGACAAAAGTATAACGAACACGGATATTATAGCCACCACTCTTGCCGCCTGTGAACTCTCTGGATATTCGAATAGCAACCAAACCTTACGCTGGAACTCAGGCTTTGGCAGAGGTTTCTCTTCTTCTTTTATAAAACCTTCTTCTTCCCTAAAAAAAAATATTTTATGTATTATAAATTTAAACAATCATCAATTTGATCCAATAATATTTTAGTTTATGTCATTGAATATTTTTTAATTGGTAATAATAAGTAATTATTTATTTATAATAATAAATAATATTATTTTACAGTACACCATAACTTTTGAGGGCTATTAACTTCGAATAATCTACTTTTTCCAGTAGTTTGATGGCCTAAAAAAATTATATGGGACATATCGAGCATTTTGTTACCAATATGTCCATTTTTATGAAATTGTCTCACCTTTTTTTTTCGCGTATCCTTCATATATAATTAAAATATGCAATCAGACATTTTAATTATGGTAAAAAATTGTATTTTTTAAGTACCACAAACGTCTGAAACGTTGGGTTATAAATAAGTATGTGTGAAAACGACATTTTGTATGTACCACTTCAGATGTGTTTGTCACTACATTAATTTTATTAAAACCTTAAGGAGACCACCACAAAGCATTGTAAATACTTTTTCATTAACACTTATAGAATATAACCCCTACAAAGACAATTTTATAAGCTATCAACACAAGCAATAATAATTTTAAAAAATTAATAATATACAGATAATCCATACTATATTCAAAAACGACAATAGATAAAATGAACAATATTTGATGAATATATAAACTCAGCACCATTGAAAGCAAATACTGACTTCAGTCAATAGATCAGTCGGCAATAAGTCAATGATAACACACTATAATATATATTAACAACTTCAAAATAGTCGAAGGTAAACCAAGATATCACAGAAAACATTATTGAAGTTAGTATGTATCTATTTTGTGAAAGCAGTGATCTAATTAAAGAGGACCTGAATGAACAAGGGTGAAAACAGCGATGGTCCATACAACTAAACCATTACACNTTTGTGAAAGCAGTGATCTAATTAAAGAGGACCTGAATGAACAAGGGTGAAAACAGCGATGGTCCATACAACTAAACCATTACACTTTCGTGTAAACCCGAGTTTTTTTATAAAATGTTGTATTGGTACGCATAATAAACTAAAATGTTAGAGTGCACGAGCAGTGACTACATTTCTAATAGCTAAAAATAACTAACTAAACTAGTATGTGCCTAGAAAAATAAGTATATTGTTTTAAATGAAAAACATTTTTAATTATATTTTAATATATAATATTTCATCGATAGCATTAATATCCGTAATACTATTTTAGTGTTGTTTTACTGATGTAGTTGTTTTGCCTATACACTGCGCCGTCCAAAATATTGGTCACGTTTAATGAAGAACTTAATGTATTCAAGCATGGGCAATAATATTATACAACACAAAAGTTTTGATCTCGGGATATGAGAGACGGATAAAAGCATAAATATATCAGTATACCCTTATTATCTCCAACGCGCTCGTTTTTTGTCTTTTATTACTACTGCGACCTTTGGTTATCCTGTCAAATGAGAAAAAAAGAATTTAACCGGCAAATAACATTAATAATAAAACAACTCGGAGCGCACATTAATGTTTAAGGTGTATTTTTAGAGAAGGGCACGAATTTTGTATTGATCGGCCCGACCAACCGCTAGATATAGGCTCATCCTAACGCACCCACGTAAGCCATTTACATTGTTGCCACTTTATTCGTTTCGGCCAAAGGCAATAATATTATCCGTCCTTGTTCTATTAGTTGTATACGAGCTTTTTGTTTTTAGGCGGCCGGCAGCTGTCAGCTGTTAAAAATAACTAGCTGCAAGGCATTTGAGTAACACTTTTCTATATGTATGTGTTATTGATTGGCACGAACCGAGGTAAGTGTCGGAAGCTGTTCCACTCGAGTACGGAAGAAGCTACTGGTAGTGACGGATTTATTTATAAAGAGTCTGACATTCTAGCGAATAAAAAAAACAACTTTATACAATGTAAGACTTAGTTGAAATGATGTTATATTCCTTGAACGATAGAATCCCCCATATTTAAAATAACCTGTGTACATAATAAAGCTTAGTGATTAGTCGACAAGATCCGTTTCCTTGACCACATACTATACTCAATATACATATCTATAAACAAAACATTTTGATTTTATTTTTATAATTTATTACAGAGCCATTGATATTAAATGAGTAAATGGCAAGACTGTACTATATAGTCAAATGGTTAGACAAACCAATTACAAATAAAACCATAATGGTCCCATAGTTATCATTAATCTCTCGAAATAACTTGAGTCGCTTTTTTTATCTAACTTATTGATCATTTTCTTTTTCTTCTTATGTCAGTATAACCTAACTATTATCTACAATTTTTGCTAAACTATAGTTACTTAACATGTAGAATACAATATCAGTATTGTTGAAATAATCCGTCCAAGTCCTCATTCCTTTGAAATGAAAAATACGAGTTTCATCCTAATACTCGAAAATAATTAGTATAACCCAACCTAAGTCAAGTAACTTAATTTTTTTTTTTAGGTATATTTTTAAATATTTTAACTATACGGGCAAAATGCGTACACGTTGGGATAGCGTGTATTAATATTAATCTTTATTTTTAAGAACGTATAATTAACTGTTTATAAACATGTATAAATTATTATTTTGTACATATTTTGTTTATCTAACAAATATTTTATTTTTTATAGAGTTTAAAAAAAAAAACTTCCATTTGGGGCAAAATGGTGTGTACTCTAATTACAGGACAGCCCCAGTTTTTCCCGTTCATATAATTTATAATTAGAAATTATTTATACTTCAATAATTTTATTTCAAATTAAATTATTTAATAAAATTAATTTAAAATTACATTTAGTTAATTAATTTTACATTGATCTACAACCATAAATATAATAGTAATTGTTAATCGTTGATTTCATTGTTAATTAAAATATTTGGGACATACTAAATTCTATATTTAAAACAACAAAGGTTAAAAAATAAAATAAGTTGCTCTCAAACCTATCTAATAAGTGAAATATGTACAAAAATAATAAATCCATCTACTGTCCCATTTTATTTCTAAGTCGGAGTTAAATGGGATATTTGAGGTTTTTCTTTTTTATGTTTTGTTATAAATACGCAAATTTATATTTTAACTATTTAATGGCGTTTTAATAGTATGTATAAATATCTTGACATTCAATTCTGTTTTCGATTCAAAAACAGTTAAAATTGAGTGTGTCACATTAAGTTGAACGTTATGTCTATCATTAAAGCCCAGGAACTCTACATAGCTTTAAAGCCGTACAAAAATTCAATAATCTTCTTCATCTTCGCTACAAAAAAATTCAATAATAATAATGATAATTTTTTATTTTTACAGTTTAAAAAAATTTCCAAATCATTTTTCTTTAGAGTTTATTTTTTTTAAATACAATATATATATATATATATATATATATATACAGTATAAATTGTGGTAAGGTATATTTAGAATACCACTTTATTGCTGAGGGAACCGGTACGGAGGACAGATGTGTTTAAAGTTCCCGAATGGTCACCCATCCGGGAACCAAGTGCAAAAAGCGTAGCAGAACATCAGTACTCTAACGGTGACAGAACGAGCCGCCACTGCGCCACGCCACACTCTGATATTTTATAAATTAAAAAAAAAAATTCTCGTTATCCTACGACACGAATTATTTTTGATAGTAATTCATTATGATTGCTAAAAATAATGAACTACTTCACATTGCTATTCCTATTAGGTGTAATGGAACTCAAAATAGGAATTGATTCCAGGAATCCGTTCCTTTTGGAAGGCGTACTTTAACAACACTGAATAATACAAATCAGTAGACTTTCTATTTATTGTATAATATACAATACTACAGTGATAACGTTGTACGTTACAACAATGTATAGTGTATTGTGATAAAAAATACAAGATAAACTATAGTCAGTAACGGCGCAAACGTACGTATGTGGGGTTCTGATCAAAATAAATTACAACTTTAATTAACTTAATAGTTTTACACAACAGGGCAGTAGTTACTACCCCTCTCTCGCCGTCACTGTATACAGTATCACCCTGTATAAAATAATTAAATAACATTTATCATAAGTAGAAATATTCTTTGAAATTATACCTAAATTTATTAGTGGCTAGTTCACCGAGTTCGTAGAACTTGATCTCTTCAGAGAAAACGTCTAGCGGGACTGTACCCGGCCTCCTTAACCGGCCGCCACTTTGGTAATAGTACAGGATGGCGTCAAAAGTGGGCCTGTTTCGGTCGAAAAAGTATTCGTTTCGCAATGGATCGAAGTAACGCATTCGTCGGCAAGGATCTCCAAGTAACGTGTCCGGAAACTGATTTAACGTGCGTAATTGGGTTTCGAATCTCAGTCCGCTCACCTGTAAAAAAAAGAAATTTGTGTTTTTTACCAACGATCATCTGAATAATTGTCAAATAACTTTTTTTTCAGCTCATGTGGCCCGTTATGGCTAGCACTGAGCTTTTTTATCTAACCAGTGACGGTGCGCACCAAGTACCGTCAGACAATCAAATTAGTCGCAACGTTTCTTTAATATATACAAATGTTTCAGTTTCAAAACAGAAACATAAACGATTTAATATTTTAACGGTACTATCTCAACTCACTATCTAATTGTTTGATCATAAATATAACTCTATAATATGCGCTAAAAAATCGATGCTTATTAAAGTTGTTTACTTTGCGTGTAAATAGAAAACTTGCAATAAGTTTGTAAGTATAATATTTTTTAGTAAAAATAGTAAATATATTTTGAATGCAATTACTGTCATAGTATTAGACAGTTTTAAAAAATGTTATTAGACCTTATATCTAATAGTTCAATTAAAAACGAATTTATATTAGAAAAAATCATGATAATGCACGCAACATTTAATTAATCAAATAAATTAGTATGGTACAAACAGATACGTAACTTAACAAAACAAGTTTAGTTTGTAAGCAAGAGTAAAGGGAAATGTCTATTTATTGTTTTTATTCATTAATAAAGTTGAATGATTTTTTTATAAAATCCATTTAGGATTACAAATATTTGGTATCTGAAAAAGCGAATTATGGCTAAAACTATGATTTTTATCTACAACTAAAGCAATTAATTACAAACAATACCATCAAATACTCATAAATATTTAAAAATACAATTATATTCACATAAAATTTATATAATTATAAATAAGAGTTAATTAGTAGAAAGAAAAATAAAGTTTAGTCGAGTTAAAAACTGATATTTTACTTCAATTAACTAGTTATGAAACCTAAACTGTTTAATTTTAAAACTAAAACCATAACATTTACTAAACTAAATGAAACTTTTACCAATATCATGTTAATTATTTGTTCCGTTAAGTTGAAAAATTAAATGTAATTTAATAAAAGCATTATAGATACATTATAAACTTTTAATAAAATATTATCAAAATTCCGAATTACAGCTGAAGTTTCAAAAATGAAATATATTAGTCCATGTGTGTGATGGATGTTGTCCTCTGTTGTGTCATCTACTCTAAATAGTTCAAAATGTCTTTTAATTAGTATTACAAATAAAAACACTATATAACCCAATTATATAAATTATGTGAAATGATACATCATACTCTATTGTGTTATTAAGTTTCGTCGCCTATTCATCAAAATCTACAAGTCACTTTATAAAGATATGAGCATAAGATTTTTTTTTTTGCTTTCAACTTACCAGATTTCAAACTAATGAATTTTTAAGAGTTTTTCATATTTGCTGACAACAGAAGATATCAGAAGATACCCTCCTTTTTAGCTCCCTAATACTTGGGACCAACACAACTCGAGAGTATTTCAATGAACCAGAAATATCCTCGTGTAAGCACGTATACTTAGCATAAACAGGTGAATTTAGAAGTCCTAATTATAAACGGATAAAAACTAAATAGACATCATTTTTTTTTTTACCGAAATTGAGAATTTCATTTTCAAGTTTATATCTAATTTTATTTTCAAATATTATACATTAATAAAACAAATCAATCAGGAATTAAGTAAAAACTCTTGGAAAAATTTTATCGAATCAGAATCGGAGTTATTAATATTATTCCATCAAATGAAATATTAACTAATGTGATAACGTACTATTATAACCTGATCATGATGACGTAGAAATGTAATTAATTTAATTCATATTAACAGTTTGGCACGTACAATCATGTGACATAATAGAAACTAAATTACATTGTAACAGTATATTTTAATGTAAATTATTCATTTAAAGCGAAAATTAAATTCAACAACGTTTTCAAATGTTTGAATTGTTAAAGTTAGTAAAAAAAAAGTTTATTCCGATAAAAAAAAAACTTTGTAAATCACAGCATACATTTTTTGTTTAATGTCATAAAAGTCTGTCATTCCTTCAAAAAAATAATAATAAGAAACTAGTATCGTAAAGTTTTGAATTAAATTTGCGAGGTAATTGATCCGTTTCCGATTTTTTTTATAAAACTGTTTTTGTCTATACTATTATAGTTTTGCAGTTTGATAACACCTTGTTTGCTAACATTGGGTAACACCTTGGTTCATCCTTATAGATTTTTGTCATTCTGAATGGACCTTTCATCGACACACAATATCAATGTAAAACGGTTGGATAAGAGCTTTTTCCGATAGCCATTGCTACTTATAAATCTTCCGAGAGTACAGTTTTTGTATTTCAAAAACCACAATTTAAACCTGTCCAAGCCGAAAAAGAACCTTTAAGAAAGTGCGTATTGAACAATTTTATATCAAAAGGGACTAAACCAATTACTACTTTAATACTATAAGCTTGGTGGGATGTTGAATAGATAGAAACTAGATATATGAATAGATTGAATTACGATGTACCACTTCACTTTATATTGAAAACTTGTCTCGTAAATTTAACTTGAAATTTATACGAGTTGATATTAATTTATTAATCTGTCAAACTCTACAGTAATCTGTGATCATTTGAGCGTGTAGTACACTTGGAGTACCTAATGAATAACTTTTTGTGTAGATTATAAAGGTTAGCTCATCTTTGACATTAATCGATAATTGAAAATATCTAATGCATAATATCTGAATATTATTAATAAATATCCTTCTTATTATATATTACATACAACAAAAATAATAATAAAATTAAGAACGAAAATTGTTCAAGTAACAAAGTATAACCGCTACTTGAACTTGGTAAATTTATTGTTTTTTCTTTACTAAAACTATGCTTGCAAAACTTGTATAAATAAAAATTGTTTAGGCGTACTCGTTAATTAACAGCATTTATTCGAATAGAAAAATACAAAAAAAATAAAGCAGTCAAGAGCACAGCACAATATTGAAATATGTGATACGTTTAGTTTATCATATGACACAAATATTTTTTATAGAATCTCTGGTACTATAAATCGTTCCAAATATTATCTATCAGCTGAAAATGGTTTTGTTGTATTACAATTCACTGTTACCAATGACTTCTGTTTGAAAAATTACACGCAAAAATTTCCTAGTTTCAATTCGCTATTGTTTCATACTTTGTTTAATAACATTTATACAGAAACCGTAAAAATCCCCAAAAGTAAATATTTCTTAAATTCCTGCAACTATTAAAAAAAATGTTTAGGATTCTTATATTTATATATTTTACGTTCATTACAAAGTCTTAATATATATATAAGTTAAAAATTAAAAAATAATTTCACAAAAAAGATAAAGAAAACATTGAACATGTTTTAAATTTTGAATCTTTCTTTTGTACATCGAATAATGAACTATTACATTCAGATTATACTTTTCAAAGCAGCGATAGTTCAGATAACAAGGTTTAAATTTTACTTAAAAAACTTTGTGATATATATATATATATATATACTAAAAGATATTTTAATTTCTCCCGTTTATTTTATTATATAATAATCACGAAATCGATTTTATTAACAATCAATAAACAATTAATTAAAAAATGTTTAATTATTTTATTTTTAAAGATTTTTTCCTTGTGCCTGTCGCTGTTTTTAGCCAGAGTGTTCATATAAAATGTTATTTTACGTTATTCTATTACGATTTTTACACCGTATCTTTTCAACATTTTTTTTACTTACGTTGATTGTTACTCTCTCGCAAAAATCGTGATCGTGAGGTATTGGTTCGAATGTAGCACTCCCTGAGCAATGTTGAGGATGACCGTGTGTGAGGCCTGTGCCAAGACTTGCCCCTGGACCACAGCCGTCTTCGTCTTGGGTACTGAGTTTTGGCAGCGACCTAGAAAAAGTACAGTCAAACTATCTTGTTTTAAAATTGTAATAAAAAATATTTCATTGATACAATGTGATTTATGTAGAAATCAAGAATAAATAAATAACAATAAAACGATATGGGATCGTAACTTTTTCGAAAATCATCATTTTTTTTTTAATGCAAATATTAGTCCAAATTTAAATTGGTCTATCTAAGTCTTATCAATGTCTTATACGTGCACATTCCGATATGCGTGACATGACAAAAACCGCAATAATAAAATGTTCAATCCTTATAACTGCAGTAAAACAATTTATTAAATAAGCAATAAAACTAAATTGGATTAAATCGAGTCATTTAAAGAAAATGCATATTGTCCAATTGCGTGTATTTTGATTAGTTGGTTTTATTCATATAATTTTGGATACCACTGAACAAATGTATCAACGATATAAATGAGGTAACCATGGTTACTACGTTATACCAGACAGCACGGCGACAAATCCTATAAACAATCGCGAGCGACCCCACTGATTGTTACAGAGGGTACGACGATATTGTTTTTGTAAAACTTTAGCAACAATATTACTATGAATTCCATTGCTTATAATAAACATCATAGTAAAGGGTTGGCCTTATTTATAAGAATGTATGATGCAAGCTCGCGATTTTTCTAAATTTCAATAATAATAAAACTCTGACAAATGTTTAAATGACATAATTAAAAATTTGTCGAATATATATTTTTAACTATATATTTGATTGTTATCCAATAACAATAATAAATAAAATAGGATAGTGTATAAATGTATATGTACACTACTTAATTTAATCCGACTACCGTCAAATGGACTAACTTGAGGCAGTTAAATATTTTACAGACTTCATTACTTAACTATACTTGTAAATGTATTATTGGTGCTGTAGATTGATAAGACTAAAACGGTAATAGATATTTTACTACCTTAAGTTTAATCGCTGTCAGTGGCGTAACAAGAATTTCACAACGGCCATAATAAAAAAATTCTATATTTTGAACCTAATTTTTTTTTTGCTCACCACTTTATTTTAGAAAATTTTATAGTTGTCAAAGGGGAGCATTATACTCAGCTACGCCCTCCCCTCGTAACTATGCCTCTGTGTTTTGATTTGGCCCATTTGATGGTACTCAAAATTAATTATTTTGAACGTTCGTTCGAAAAGATAAAATATGATAACGTTAGAATAATTATTATTCTTAATATTTTAACAAAACTGTAATAAAAGTATACATATGAGTGCTTTCTAATTAAAAAAAATAATTTAAATGTTTTATTAAAAACTCTAGAAATTTATCAACAGTATTTACTGTATTATGTTTTTTGATTATTCCCTTTGTCAAATAACAAATAAGAAATAATAAATGAAAATTAAAAATTTTTAGTAATACTATCATTGGTTTTTCAGTTATACAAAAAAACATACCCGTTTAAGTATTTTTTAACTATTTCTACATATTTATTTGATATTTTTAAAGAATTCTATGCTAAGTAAATAATCTTGAAAAAATAACACGCATATTACTACGGCGCAAATTTTCTTAGTAAATTTTTTTTTTTTATATAAAAAGTTTGGCGAACTTAAGCCAATATAATTTGGGTAAATAATAGTATTGCTACGATAAATTTTCAAATATTTTTTGTTTTTTAGTTAAGAATAGTTTAGAAAATTAAAAAAAAATTACTCGTCCAATTTCGGTAGTTTAATATATTTTTCACGTTTATAATTTGAATAATGAAAAATAAAATCTTTAAAGTGACAAAAGTGGAAAACAGTAGTAAATAACAATGGTTTGTGACAATTCAGTGAGTTTTCTTTGCTAAAACCTTAGCAAATATTGCATTAAATTATGTGAAAATTGTCGCTTAAGTTGACGAATACATTTAAATTACAGTCTAGTGACTCTTGAAAAAAGTGAAAAATCTCAAAATAGAATAATTTTACATGGAAATGAGAACGGGGGCGTTTTTACAAACGCGCTCGACGTAAATAACTATAATACATGCAAATTTTATTAAAATAATCGTTGGAATTTATTCGAACCTCAGGAAAAAATTCTGCGTTTGTATAGCGTTATTTATTTAGAGCAAATCAAAAAAATAATTTGCAAATTATAACGGCGTTATTCGTTCAATGGTCACTGAAATGAAATTACAACAAGTTGTGTCGGCGTTATTTGGAAATCATTTTACAAACGGAATAAAAAACGGACTAACGATTTAAAATAATACACTACTAAAAAAGGGGCCGGGGTGAAAATGTTCACGTACTTTCCAGCATCGTCACCGTCCACCAAGCTGGCACCCCGGGGGCGTGGGTCCTGTCTCGGTTTGAGCACAGGGGTCAGCCCCCATTTCTCAACGAACTCGATCCGGGAAATGTTGGTCCCGTTGGGAAGTTCGGCCCGCCAGCAGCATTAGATGCGACACCGCACAGCAGTCCTCATGGGGCGGCGGTGGCGGTAGCGGTAGAGCGGTCCGCCGGGCTATCGACAACGACGACGACGGTGACAGTTAAAAACGGCGTCGCCGCCGCTTTTTTTATGTGCGGACATCGCGACGACGACACCCAATCCAACGATAAGACGAGTAAATATTGTAACTGCGTTGGAAGAAGGAAGAGAAGAAGAAAGACGCCGACCCGGTTGCGGACGATGGCCACGGCCGCTGACGTGCACACACGCCCGTAGAGGAGACTCACACAGACACTAACGCGCGCGCGGGCGTGTACAACGGCGGCGGCGGCGGCGGCTTACACGATGCACACCCAACGACGGTGACGGCGACGCGCGAACAAACTGCCGCGGTGGCACGCGACGGCGGCTAAAGTGTACCTACAACGCGTAACGCACGCCGTCCAACGCCCCCGCTAGACAACACCGAGATAAGCACGCACACATACCCGTTGGACGCACACAGCACTGCCTAACTGTCGGGGGGCGCACGGATATCGCGGCTGGATGAGCGTACCGAACTGTGCTGCCGAATTCACCGACCGACCGACCCTCCCTCTCCTACAGCGGCGTTCACCCCCGAGCATGCGTCCTTCCCTCTTTTTATACAGCCATTATCGGGATTTCTAACGGACCTCGAAATAATTACCTAGTTGTTTCTTTTTTTTGTCCGATTTTTTCAAATATATTTCCTATATACTACTCGGTAATATTTGCATTAAATGTTTATACTCTAACGACGCATTTTGATAACTCCAGAAGGTTTCGCTACTAACGTTCAAGTCCGTCACGTTAAAACTCACTATACATAAATTCTCGTGTTTCAGCGGATCGAATAATGATGATAATAATAATAATAGAATCAGCTGTAGCAAAAAAGATGCCAGGGAAACGTCACTATTTCAGCCAATGAAGGTAATTGCCTCTGACGAAAAAAAAAAAGACAACTCAGTGTACTAGGCATACGACAATAATACTTAAGAAAGCGGCAAAAACTATAATGACTTGTGTTCAGCAGTGTATTTTCTACCAGCATCCAACCGGAAATGAATGCTCTTATAGCACCAAAAATGTATTCACATTTGAATTTTATCGATCGGTCCAAGTCCAGTGTACCTCAATTTTTCTCTTGGTAATAATATCATCACGTTTAATTTTTAACCTCTACTTTTATAGACACCGAATTTAATTTAAGTAAAGCGTTTTCACAATAAACATTCTAACATGTAATGGTAACAGCTAAAAATTCGACAAGTCGTTCAATGACAAAAAAATCTTGTAAATTTTTTGTATATTATCGGTCATAGGCGTAACTAGATCAAAATTCTGGGGGCGGGAAAAGGGTATGACTTACAGATCAGTAGAGGTCTTCGCCACCTAGTAACTAGGAGTTAATACTAACATTAGTATTGCTAATATAGGTATGTTCAGTGAACGCTAAAATTAAAATCAATTGGAAAAAAAATGAGCAAATTAGTACTATCCTAAAAAAAACTGTATGTACTTAAGTTAATATTTATAACAATACACTATGAGTAAAATTGAAATCTGACATGAGAAAACAATGGCTATTTCTAATTTATACTTTTAAATATCACACAAATATGACATTAGGTCATGCCATCGCCAATAAATGAGTTATTATTAGCCTCGCAACAAGTTATGTTCCCTTCGATAGCCATTTACGTCACGGAAATCAGTTCCAATAAACGTTTTGAGCGCACAATGTGTATGTCATCGATGTTAAAAGAATCGTCTGAATGAACTTAAAAATGTGTAGCAAAAATAGGATAAATTGAAATATTTTTGATATCGAGTGAATCATTTTTATGGTGACAGATAACAAGGTTCAAATTACAATAGTCTGATACTTACCAATCATAATTTTACATCATAATAATGTTTAAATCGTAAAACAACAGCCGATAATTAAATGAAATGCATATTTTATAATTAAATATTGATTTTAAATAGCCGATTTCGTTTCACCGCGTACTTCGAATTAAAAAGAAAACTACTCGAATAAAGATGAAAATAATACTGCGACAAGGAACACTGTTAGCAAACGCGATATAATACTGATCAATTTACACGCCGGTAACGATTATGGGAGTCATTCAAAAGGGATAAAATGGGGAGAAAAACAAATTGGTTAAAAAATCTCTAAATCTTGTTAAAGGTCTCTGCAATTGTTACGCAGTTATTCGATATCAGTTTGTTTTGTGTAAGCGCATAAGAGTATTTTATCCATAAAACATATGGATAATATACTCTTACATGCTCTGCATAAGATATTTTCAATGAGAGTATTATTGGGCTAAACGTGGTTAGGTGAAATTATTTCTGATCTTCTTTTTTTTATTGACGAGACTTGTTTTGAGAGTTGTTTTCATGAACGATTATTTTTAGGAAAAATATTTAATAAATATTACATAATCAAATAATTAATATTCAGGAAATTTTTATTGTCTATATAAATACTATTTCTATATAAGTATAGTTTGTCGAGTTCAACTAGACTTGAAATCAAAAT